TACATTGAAAAAAGTAAAATGTAAACAGGCTCAAAGTGGTGGGGCTGTGTTAGAGGATTTTCCTCCATTAAGTAAACAATTTTTTTTTGTCATAGATATGAAACCAGACACAGAGATACACACGGGCATATATAGGAAATTTTATGGGCCACCGTGTTTGTGTGGAAAATTGTTGACATTGAAATTTTACGAGCTTTGCTCTGCATTGTCCCTGCTCAGGGGAATTGGTATATATCTATAAATATATATATATCTACATTCGCTGCCCCTCCTTTTTGGACTTTTTGCGTTTAATTAAAAATATATGTAGGCAAATGAAAATGAAATTGTTGCAGCACAGCATGCCGATGCATAAAATGTTTACCAAACCTTTTGTGTTTGCTTTGCAATTTGGCCAGGCTGGAATTTTATTACCTATATTCTATTTGCCTTTTAGTTTCAATAAGCACTTGGAACAAATGAATTCGTGTTCCAAGTTTAAATCAAAATTTGGGCTGAAGTATTTATCCAAATATTTGTAGAAAAATATGCCATTTGATAGGCACAGCAAGTGCTATTAGTTGTGAATACAAACAAAAAAGAAAATTACACATTTTGGCATTGTCCGAAATATTTCATTAAGAGCAGAAGAAAGAAATGCAATAATTGCATAGCATTGCTCAAGATGGTGGAAGAGTCAGTCAAATAAAATATTAAACTCTATTATTTAAATTACGACCCAGGGAAAAAACTCCTTTCCACTTCCCGTTAGACTGCTCAAGTGGCGCAAGCAAAGTTTGTAGGAGTGAAAACTCTTTGTCGAGTGCAAGGAAAACAAGAAACAAAAAGCTACCAAAGGCGGGGAAACTCGAACCGAGAAACGAGATTCTCTCCTTGGCTGAACGGAGATTGTAACGCGAAGCGGGCTAAAATAGAAGTAACATTCTATTATTAACAACGCCACTCGTTCCTGCCACTTCATAAACAGCAGCAGACTGCCAAGAGCCGAGAGTGAGAAGAGCAATATGAAACAATGCCAGCAACAATGGCTGATGGCCAGGAGACAAAAGGGACGGATGGACTGCAGGACTAGAAGACTGAAGGACTGAGGGACTGAAGGACACCGGGACGGACTTACAGACAGGACAACAACGTGACGACGTCGTCATCGCCAACAAAGTGTTGACATCTTTTTGCCCATTCATTGTGTGTCCCCAGTCCATCCATCTCCTTGCCGCTCGTAACTCCCCCATCGGACAACAATCCTTGACTAACGCTATTCGTCCTTTTTAATTAATTTCACTTACTGCAGCTCTGTGTCCTATGGCCTCCCTGCCCCCACAGGAAGCTTCTCTATTTCGAGTGCACAGAAAAAGAAAGGAGTTGTTTATGAAGAGCATTTTGAAGTTATCCATGAGCTTTAAATTTATTTAGTTTTGCCTTTAAAGGTAAAGGATTTTTATTATGTATTTTTGTATAATATTTTTTTAATCTCGGTTTCTGTAATTAGCATATTTTTGTCAGTGTAAACCTTCAAGCTGTCAATGTGACATGGTCCAGTCTCACGTTGAAGTCAATGTGGGTGGTAGAGAAGTGGGAGGTCCTTAGAAGGATGCCTTCCATTTTTTGCTGGGAAGTTTTCTTCATAAATTTATAAGCGTCACGTTGCTGACACTCACATATCTCTCACACTCAAACACTTTTTGCTGCCACCCTATCCCCTCCCACTTCTCCTTCCCCCACCCACTTTTCCTTCCCCTTCTCACCTGTGCCCCAGAAAGACAGTCAGACAGACGGGGAGACGGACAAAAAGATGGGTGAAGGCCTTTTGAGGCGCCACAGGAAGCAAAAGCGGAGAGATCTGACTGACACCCAATAAAGCTCAGTGGTGGGGCATAAAAAGGGAGGCAAATCACTTATGCAAATTGGCTAAGAATTTCTCGCATTGTTCCTCTGCTGTGTAAAATAAAATGTTAACAAAATTGCGAGAGAAAATGTTGAGAAAGTAAAAGCCAGATTTAAAGCAAGCAAGATTTAAGCAAACATTTTATATTCTTTGTCTTTACAATTTCCACAAAAACTAAAGAAGAACTTGTCTGCAAATTTGTATAAATTAAAAAGATTTCTTAAAGTGCGTTAAAAGCTGGATAAACATTTTAAAATATTTAAAACACTTGTATAAACAAGCCATATTAAGAAAGAGCACAAGAAAGATAAAAATCCGATAATAACTCCGCTAATCTCTGGCACACTTAACACCCTTCTCCAGATATAGAATCATATCTTATCTTCCGAGGAGTTTCCTGGTGGCTCCCTCGGCACCTGGAAGTCGTACCGCACACCTGTCCTTTCACCTGGCCATTATTTCGTTTGGGGCTGGCAGAATGGCCAAATTAAATAACCATGTGCTCCTGCTCCGGGTGAATTATGGTCTGAACCCCACCAGTGTGGGAATGTCGAAAATTAGATTTCCCGGACAACAGGTTTCCATTATTGGGGCTCCTTCGCATTTCGCTTTGCATAATACATAAATATTTTCTATTTGCCGTCATATTCCATTCGCTGGCTTAAATCGGTGAACCGAGGGGCGTCTGGGGGTCTCGAGTGGCAGCAATAGGCGCAGCATAAATAAGCAGGCTTTTCCGAGCAGCCGAGGCAGGTGGAAAATGAGGGGGTTGCTTGGGTTTGGTAGCTAACATTGTTGGAGCTTGCCACTCGTCACTCACCCATTTTGCCATTTGCCATTCATGCGTCGTCCTGGTCTCAGACATCATTCATACAAAAATGTCTGAGCCTGCTCTCCTGCGCCTTCTGCTTCTGCTTGGTCCTTGGTCCTTGGTCCTTCAGGTGGATCCCCTTCCCTCCTGGTTTTTTATTATTTATGTTACTCATTCGACTCGTATCCTGCTTGTTGATTGCTTTGCCTACACGTGTAGTTCCTCTTTTCTCAGCCACTGCCATTTGCTCCTGTCCTTATTTACCAATTCCTGTGGCTCCTTTTTCAGCTGTTTTGGGGAATGGGGAAAACAGGGGATAGGGGAAAACGAGGAACGGGGAAAAGGGTGGGCTGTGTGAAAAGCTCCCTTTGTTCGGCTCGCCCCGTCGCGCTAATATTATGAATGGCAACTCATGCATTGTAGCCAGTTTTCCTCGGTCTCAGCTTCTGTTTCTTTTCTATTGCTGCCTTTCCACGGAAAAATTGTGGTCGCCACCCCTCACCTGCAAAACTAACATGAAGGGGGAAATTCAGGAGCGGTATAACTAATTTTGGGTCAAAAAATATAATACTCAGTAAGCTATTTAGTGAAAAGTGTTCAAAAGTAATATTAATCTTATTAAAATTTAAACTCTTTAAATTTGCAAACTATTTCTTTTGTTCCAAACATTTATTTACATCCTTATTAAAACGTATTAGAATTGAGTTTAGATTTGGATTTTGTAATGCTTTAAATACTTATCAAATGGAAACCTTTTGGAAAAGTTTTGAAAGCTTTCCACTCCGCTCCTGAATTTCCCGTTAGCCGTAAAAGTGTCAATGTAAGACGCGCAATGTGTTCGTGTGTGTTCGTCCTTGCGTGCGTGCATGTGTGAGTGTTTATATTAGAGGAATCGTTGTAAGCCCCTTTTGGCCAAACAAAATGCTGCTAAATTGCTTCAAGAAAGCGAAGAATAGAGGAGGCAAATAAAGTAGAGCACATAAGCAGCACACACGATGACGATGACGGACGAGAGGGAAAGTCTCCGGAAAAGCTGAAGGGAAAGTGCCTGGGAAATTGGGGTGCCGTAGCCAGATACTTAAATCTTAGCATTTGGCCCGCATTAAGCCATATTTCACCTGGCCGAGAGAACTCAACTCGCTTTTCTGTGACTGACGTACTGCGTTCGTTGCCTTGTTTTCCCAACCCCAAAAATATTCACTTTTCCCGTGCATTTCCATCTGGCTGGATGGGGTTGGGATTGGGGGGTAATAAAAAATGAGGTCAATTTGTTTTGGCATGCTGAAAGGTTGACAAAAATGTACTTTCATATTCCATATTCCGACGGTCTATTTGCCCAAGCTGAAACGTCACCCTGCCACCGACATTGTTGTTAAATATAACAATATTTATTTATTTATTATTTACACTGCCCGAGGCGCAGCTGCCAAGGTTGTGGGTCACTCGGTCGGTCTGCCGGTCGAGGCTCCACTGTACTCTACCTGAGATATTGCTCCCGGGCATTCGGACTTGCCTGTCTGACTGTCTGCCCGGCACTTTAAATATTTAAGCCATTTTCATGCCCCAAAAGGGAGCTACATCATTAAAGTTATTGGGTTTTCGGTGCTGGGCAATTGCATTCGAAATGAGTGGGTGGAATTCTCGAGGGATACCTGTACATGTGGCTCCTGCCTTTTGTGTTCTGGCTTCGGTGGGCGTGTCTGTAAAGTTTGTTCCTGATGAATTTGAATGAGGAGGCGTCTACGTATTGATCCAATTGGTTAGAGGTGAAAATTGGTTGAAAGTCGGGAGGAAAATAGAGTAACAAGTTGGAAAAGAAAACATTCCGGAACGTTTAAAACTTAAAGATGTGAAACGTAGCAGCTGAATTTATTGGTTTTACGTTTCATTGAGAATATAAACTTTCCCATTTTAAAATGGAGAAGTTGAACCGTCTACAGTTTTTCCTCATTCCTATTTGCATCAACATACAATGCCAATTGTGGCCAAATTCCATTTTGTAATTAAGAAAGCTTGATCGAACACGCAGTATGCAGATATTCCTTCGATTTCCCCCCAAAAGTGCTCCATATTATGCACTTTTCACCAGCCACCAGCCAAGAAATATTCCGGATGAGGGGAAAAATCTGAGCGGCGGGGCCACAAGTCTACATGCATTTTACTGATTCAATTTGCAATTCAATATTTTGTTGCTCTCTTCTTTTTCGTCTGTACCCATTCCCCGTTCCAAATTGTGCATAAATGAAAGCTAATTCGTGCAAATGTTTTTTCATTGTTTTAATATTTGGCATTTTCTATTTTCAGTGGCGAATGTCAGCGGCAGTGAGCGGAGTCTGATGATGGAAAAATCGAACTGAAAAACAAATCAGACGGCAGAGAAAAATCAAGTTGAAAAGATGAGAGTGAAAATGCAAGCAGCTGCAGGAAAAAGCGAGAAAATCACGAAATCGCAGCTAGACCAAATGGGAAACTTATGAAAAGTACTAAAAGCAGCACAAGAACCAAGAAAATACGAAAAACAACGTCGGAAAAGGGAAAATTAAAGCAACAATTACTGGGGAACCGGGCCAAGAACCCTGGAGAATACACAAATATAATAAACGTTTTTGAGGAAAAGTCGGTAGTAAAAAACAAACCGCCAAAGGAAAGGATTCCCATAAAATTACCCAACAAAAATGGATACAGTTTTCGCTGCGGTTTTTCCCCGGCAGCTAGTGGCTTTTCTTCTGGTCCTGGCCACAGCTTTTTCGCCAGTCCGAGGTGAACAGCACCCGGCAAGTGCCGATGAAGGTAGGTACTCCCGAACCAAACAGCCATCCAGGTTTCATATCATTTTCGGATACAAAATACGCGGAAGTGGCATGGCGTAAATAAATAATGGGTACCGTAAAAACAACAAACAAACACACATTCTGAATTGCGTGAAAACCTCAATTGAAATATAAACAGCGTAACCGCAGAAAACCAGTTCAAATGTTTGGAATTTAACGCAGGGTTGCCACAACAACAGCGTCAATAACGAAACACTACCAACAACCACCATAAAAATAACAAAAGCAATTTAGACATTAACACTTTTGCAGGCGACTGCTGCTATAAATTCCAATTAAAAGCTAGAAAAGCGAAGCCTTGATTTTAAAACTGCATGCATTTCAGTTTTATACAGGACTGTATATATACATTTTTAGATGGGGTTTTTCGTAGGTTTAACAAGAACGAAACGCCATAAAAAATTCAACGTTTTAAATTGTTTTTACCCCCTAGCCCTTTATGTTTGCCTGTAATGACATTTCACGGACATCCAAATGAAATTAGAGAACATGTCAATGAGTTTGTTTATATAAATGGGGCATGGCCCGAACCCAAAACCTCGGACTACAATTGCGTTTAGTTTTCCCATTACGAAAACGGAGGCGGAACCCAACAAACCGAACATCTGGCGGGCAAAACCGAAACACTAGGGTGTTGAGGGTTAATTGCACGGGGAAATGGGAAACAGGAAAATTTAATTCTTGACTTTCCGGATCTCGGGGATCACTATTCGAAGAAGAAATGTAGTGCTTCGATGGCAAAGCCCAGCGGGAGGAACTCAATTGTGACTGCAGCTGTGACTGTAAATTTCGTAATTACAAGAGTGTGACTGCTCGAAATGTCAATGTTCAGAAGTCACTAAAAATATGGTTGCGAACCAAAAAATAAAATTATGTTTTTACAATTTTAATAAAGAAAAAATATATTATTTAAAAACACCTTAGTTGTTTCCAGTTGTTATCTATCGTAATAAATGTGACGCATTTTAACTTAAAAAAAAAAAACGTTGTTAGGCAGAACCAATATGTTATTCCATATTATCTTCAATTTTATTAGAAAAATGGACGGGGTTCAACAGGCTTTGGCTTTTCGAATTGATTGTGACAGTTCATTCGCCCGAGTTCTGACATGTGAAAGTCACAGTTCAGCTTTTCCTCACCCTTGTCACTTCGTCACCCTCTGGTTTTTCCCAACCCCTCGTGATCGCGATCATCGTTGTGTGTCATTGTCATCAGTGTCAAAGCCAAATGTGATTTAAATTCGATTATTCTCAATTATTTCGTTACATGCATTTCATTTTTAGTGACTCAGCCCCCTGCCAAAAAAAAAAAAAAAAATAAATAAATAAAAGCAACCCCCTCAAAAATTGTTACTTGCGTCGAATTATTTTTCTGTGCTTCATGTTTTTATTGGTTCACTTGAGTGGATTTGGTCTGGGGACTCATTTGCTCCCTTCCTTCGACTCGCTGCATTTGTTTGATTGAAATTGATTTTGTCTCGCCTGCGGGGACTTCTCGAAACGGAATGCCAGCCTCCAGACTCGGGACTCCGGCAACCAGACCTTATAAAGCATTATTTCAAGTACCCTCCTCTCCTTCGCCCCACTTGACTTGCACTGACTCCTCCAATAAAGATTAAATTCATGCCGAATGGTCGCTCATTGAGATATAGAATGGAAAGAGGACTCTAAGTGCTTTCAGATGCTGCCTCGTTATGGTAATGCGGTAATCCCCCCTCGCCCATGGGTTTTGACTTATTTATAACACCATTCGAAGTGATTACGATCTTAATTGTAAGTGATGCACTTGTTCACATGCACGGGGTATAGTTTTTCACCCCCTAGTTTAATGGTGGGTCACAACTATCCCATACACAAATTACTGCCCGATTTTCCACCCCAAGCGAAAAGGTTCATGCTCCTAACGAGGCTATATCTAATCAAATATTCACCCTTTTTCAGTCGGCTAAACTGATTTCATGGCTGCGATAAGCAAATATCTGCCATTTCCAACAAATTACTTGTTAACAAGTGCATTTTAATGTTCAGCTTTTTGGCCAAATTGTGCCACATATGTGTGTGTTTTGTATTTCTCCATGTGTTTTTGCCGATGGAGTGGCCACAACTGAAATTCATGTGGGCTATAAAAAAACCGACTAAGCACAAGCCTACAAATGGCTAAAACCCTCTCTTTGTGTATGTGTATGTGTGTTTTGGCCAATTGGAACAGAAAATTGTGAAATGGTTTTTGTGCTTTGTGATTGCGGACCTTTTTTCCGACTCTGCCACCTTTATTCCGATGTAATTTGAACATGCAAACAGTATGCTTAAATGCAGTACGAGGTCATGGGCGTCGTAAAGGGGGGCGCTAAAAGAGGAAATATAGGTTTCAAAATTGAAAATGGCATGCTAGTCACTTCTAATGCAGTAATGAATTTATATACATTTTAGTTTGATAACTAAAATATTATTTAGGGTGGTATATGTTGATATTCAAGTACAATTCAATTATAAATTTACGTATGTTAATTAAAAGCATTCATCACGAAACTGAACAACAATTTGTTCTCACTCAATCAAAACAATTTTCAGAAACAACAGCAATTTAGTTTTGGTCAATCCCCTCCCTCAAAATATGTCTGTCATATTGGGTCCTCAATCAAAGTTTAAAATTTAACTGGCATTTCTCTCGCAAGTATGAAATTGATTTTACACATTTTTTCCGCTCTCCCTGTTACTGGCTGTGATTACCCAAATTAAAATGAAAATTCCATTCAATTTCTACACGATTTCACGGATTTAAATGGTTTCAATCTAATTAAATGCATTGGCTTCGATTTCGAATCAAAGAACTCTTCATCAAGAGTGTCCCGGGGTCACAAAAAACGCTAATAAAAAAAGGTCGAAAAATGTTTTGAATAATAATCCGGGGAGGTTAAAAAATCAAATAGGGAAGAGGTCGCAGCTGTTTTGACGCAGAAATAATCCATTAATTCAATAAATGTGGAGCGCGGGTTTTTGTCTTTTCCCACTTTTTTCTTGTCACCATTTCGCGTCGCGCTCTTTTGGAACTCAAATATTTGTACAATAATTTGTGGAAAAAATGCTGGCTGGTTTGGGGCAGCATCTGGTGACGAAATCAAAACCGATTCCTGACCGGGGCTAAGCGCTCCGACAAATAAGCGGCGGCGGCGGAGGAGGACCTTCTCCCTATCACCAGGACATCGGGCTCATTGCTCATTTTAATCTTTGATTTTCGGGGATATTGGCGGAGGACAACCGGCGACCTCCGACCCATAACCCTCGACAGGAGCTAAGCACACAGACATGGTCGGGAACATGGAAAATACTTGAAAAATTACTCACCCGCAGCGGCGACGCAGATTTCCCAGCAACCAGCAGCCGGCAGCCGGAATGAATGAATAAAAATTTGTGTGGAAAATCCCAGGAAAACATTTTGAGCAAATACACAAACACTCCCACACACACACACATGCCAGAGGCTTCGGTTGAGAGGGGGTTCCAGGATTTGGGTACGGTTATGGTAACAGACACATTCGACGGCCAGCGGGTGGCTCAAAAATCAATGGGCTCAAAATATTAAAGCGCTCGATTTTCATGTTTTCCATGTTTGCCGAGAGCCCTCGATACCGCCGCCTTCTTTTTTCCGCTTTTCCCCCTTGATTTCCACTCCCCTCGATTTCCGTGTGTGTGCTCCGATTTCGATCCCCGATTCTGATTCCGCTTGAGATTGCTGTTTGTGCACTGGCGGCTGCCTTTTCGATTTGTAAATTGGCACTCGATGAATCAATGGATTTCGCCTCATTTTTAGTACTGGCCATAGTGGTCAGCGAGGGTTAACTTAAGAGTTAAGAAAACCGCAAGAAGTATGTTGATTCCTTTATAAAAATAAGTAAACTTATGTGTCCTATTTTAAGCAAATTATTTCAGAAGTGATTAGGTATTAGGTCATTTCAGCTGCTCTATGTGTGTCAATATTATTTCTCAAATCTAGAGTAAAGAGTTTATAGGAATTTTGTGTTTTCTGAGATTGTTTTTAAATTGCATGGCAAAAGCTATACAATAACTTGTAAGTAAAAATCATTTTTTTTTTTTTTAGTTGTTCCTTTTTAGTAAACACCTACATTTTAGATACTCAATACTGTATGCAAATTCTTCGTTCGGCCTCCTTTGCATTTTCATATATGCTCCACACACAAATCAGTCAAAGTGTTTTTCGACCTTTTCATCGACTTTGTTTTTTCAACACTCTTGGCGTTTTGGGCCGACTGCGGCTTTCATATTTGTGAGTAGATTTTGAACGGAATTTCTGGCATTCGCTTATAATGTACTTGACCCGGCAGATCTTTTGATGGGGGAAAAGTGGGAAGGAGAGTCACAATAAACTGGCAAAAGTGCAGTCTGGCTTCGATATCTATGTGTGTGTTTTTGCGGGATGTCCTTCCTTTGAGCCTGTGGCCGTGACTGTGGATTTGCTCCGGGTGTCCTGTGCCCCTTTTCGGCCCACGAACGTGTGGCATGCTCCATTTGTGCGCTGATATACGGAATTATGCTGAAATCACGTTCCCACAGAAAGAAAAAAGTATATATGTATAATGGAACGAGAGTGGGTTAGGATAAGGGTTTTCCTCCGCTCCACTTTTTCCTGTGCTGCATGTGGAAAATCTCGGCATAAAGGAGCAGCCAAGAAAAGTGCTTCCTGCATAAGCGATTTTCCGCTGCGGGTGTTTTTCTATGTGTGTGTGTGGCCCTTGCTTTGATGTTGTTTTTGTTATTCTTGTGTATTATTATGTTTGTGTCTTTTCCTTTTTGGAGGAAAGGAAATGCTTTCAACTATTTTTATAGCAGCAGGAGTTGCTCAAAAACGGAGAGCAAGAAGCACGAAAATCCTGTGTTTACTTTTCTCACTCGCTGGGAAATCGATAGTAATCCACTTGATCGATAAGGTCTTGTAGAGTGAATTGGTAATTTGACAAAATTATATATGTAACATGGGAAACCAAATTGTAGCTGAGGAAATTAATATCCACCGATTTTCCTGGTATCACAAGTCATTGAAATCAATTTTTAATGTAATTAGGAGGGCAGTTCTTCAAGAGGGAAGTGAGAATGGAGACACTTGACACGAAAATAACCTGCAATCGGAGGTTCCAATTACTTTCCACTTAATATTTCATCCATTCTGCACAAATATGTATGTCTATAATGATGATTCAGGGGTAAGGCATTTCTCTCTAATTTTCAGGTTAGCCTCAACTCATTTCTATGTGTTTATAAATAGAAATCCTACACTTTAAGCGCTGCTCGTTAAAATTTAAACGTTTCCGAAAATTTGATCCGAAATCAATTGGCCAAGCTTAAAAGCTGAAGCTTTTAACCCTTTTTTTCCTGGCTTGTGGCCAATTTAACGAGCTCACCTTGAATGGGTAGTAACTGTCACCTCATTTCCATCACAATGTGAGCTGTGAACGACTTTGAATTAATGGGCGAGTGTGTGTGATTGGGTTAGAATTTCATCCGACGGAAGATGCCAATCAATGGCCACTTTTATTGCCGGCAACATTTTTCTTAGCCTCTGCTGTATAAACCTTTATTGCAGAAGAGTCACTTACTTAGTTGATACACTGAAAGAATTAATAAAACTTTTTGATTTTCTGAATTTATGTTCTCCTCTCAACTAAAAAGTTACCCAAAGAGGTGTTGATTGTTGCTATATTTTTAAATTCTATAGTGTTCTATACTCTTTTACACAAGCACTTTTTTGAGTGCTCTTTTTCCACCATGATAAATGGTGGGCGTGTGGAAATCAGGAGAGAAATCACCTCTCCAGGGGGATGATGACATGGCAAGTGACAAGGCCAAAATCAAATCATTGTCTCAGCGGTGAAGGAAAAATCATCCTGCATTCACTCCGCTTCAAATTAACTCGAGGAAAATAGGGGAAAAGGATGCTGAAAAATAATGGAGATTTATCAATCGCATTATCTAGCCATCAATCTTGTCAAAAACTGATAGATGAGCCATTATCTGACAAATTATCTGTCGCGTGTGTGTTCGATGGGCTTGAGATTTACAAATTGGAGTCATTCGGCCCATAAATATTCCCAAACCGATTGATGGGTGGATTTTCTCTAGAAATGTCAGCAGATGGAGTGGGGGTAAATTTCCCCGGTGTAATAGATAATTTCAACTCATCACAAAAAATGGAAGGTAATAAGAATGTAATTTAAAGAATTATAGAACTAAAGTACTTAGCACTTGCAACCTAAAAACAAACATATTTTTAGCGTTTTCAAGTCCATAATTAAAATAAGTAGATACTTATGAACTTGCCGTATTGAAAGACTTTTAATTCAATACATATTTGGCGGGGCGATGGGAAACGCAATTGTCTTGACTTTGCCATTAACGACATGAATCTCATAGTGAACATTTAGACTGACTGAAACTCCAGAAACGGGTTGAGCGGGCAGTTTTGGTAATTTGAGATTTTCGTTGACGCAGTTGAAAAACCATTGCTCAGCTTGAGGAATTCTGGTCACCAAATCGAAGCCCTGTGCCAACTTGGCTGTCCACACAGAAACTGAATCGAAGTGCAGGCCCTCCCGCTTGTAAAGTTTCACCACTTCATTGAGGTTTCTGAAAGTACTTAAAGTCATTACAGCCGATGGCTTATCACCGAAAAAATATTGCGGAAAGTCCAGAACTATTATTGGAGAACCTTTCTTCCTGTGACCATATCGCTTTTTCACATCTGACTCCTCGAATTTCTCGATGTGAATTGTTGAGCAGTTCAAACGATCGATGAGCTTGACCGATTTCAAATAATTCGGATGTCGCTGAATGCGCTTATCCATCGGTTTTAAGTTCTTACGAATATTCTTTATCAGTTCGTCTCTTATCGATTCCTCTACGAGAACAGAAGCCACCAGTCCGCTTCCAATCGGATGATGCATATCTTCGACAATAATCTTTGTTACTTCGTCTAAATCCCCACTGGCGAACAGGATCATTATTCGGGGAAGCACCCACGACTTGTGGGTTCCATCTTCGGGATATCTATGGACATGTCGCGAAAGTAGAGAAATGTATACATCTGTAATGACCTCCTCTTCATCAGGAGCAGAAGAATCGTCGCTCATTTCGTTTCTTATCGCTTAGAATTTAGATATTTTCAAAGAAACTATTTCACTCTTGATTTTATTCTCGGAAAGCAAAAGGTTACTTTTCTTCTTAACAGACCGTTTAAGTGTTAAAACTCCCTTTATATTGTTTAATGGAGTACTGTCTTAATTGAAAAAACAATGCGAATTGAGATCATTAAATTAGCATTTACTTCCTGTGTGCAATAAATAAACTCAAGTCAACAAAGAATAAATAACTTTTAAAATGGTATTACATTTTAAAACAGTCGGACGGTGAAAAAATTTATGAGACGCCTGCTAAAGTGTTTTCGGAATAAAAAACTATCTATGAATATTCACGAATAATTTATAAATTAGCTGCACTCCCCTGCCTTTGAATTTCCCCATCTCAGTTCCAATTTGTTAATGAAGTTATCAACGGTTCAAGTTGGTTTTCCCTCGGTTTTCAATTCATTTGCATATCTCGAGGAGCACCGCTCTTGTTGTTTATGTTTATGGGGCTTTATAATCTGCTTTTATAGTTTGTTTACTTAATTTTCTGTAGCTTTTTGACATTTTGCTCCAAATTAAAAAAAAAGCACACACACAAAAGACGAGGGTAAAATTTAAGGAGGAGGTCGGAGTGGAAAGGGAGGCGCTGACGTATAAATATTCCCATTGCCCATTCCAAACACACACAAAAAAAAATTGAAAAACGAAACAAAAGCAGAAAGTTTTGGGCGGAAGTGGCTGCGACGCCGAAATACAAACAAAATGGAACCAAAAAAAAGCAATGAAAACAAAAATAATAATAGCAGCCAAAAAATGGGAATACGAATATTGCTATCCCAGTTTTTTATAAGACGCGACTTGGGATGTGGAAAAGTGAAATAAAAATGCAGCAAAATGTGCACATTTAGTTTCAATATCATAGCAATGGGAAAAGCTTTAAATGCCGAGAGCCTTTAAGAAAAAATTCAAGCAATTATATCACTAACAAAGTTTTTGTATAATTAATGAAGACACCAATCGATACAGTTGTATTTAATTCCTTTTACCTGTAGGTTTACAGAATGTTCAAAATTTGATAAAAATGCCTTTACAAAATGAAGTATTTTTTGCAGTTTTATTCCGAATACACTTTTAAAAGTAAACGCATTTTGGTAAATATTTCTTCCGGCCTTTGGAGCTGTGATTAATTTTTGCCATGGGCGTTTTTATTATTTCTTTGGCGCAGACAACTGTCTGGGAGCTGTTGTTCTTGTTCCCGCTGCTCCCATTCATGGCTCCTAAGTGGCCGAAATGTTTTTGTGCCACGTTATTAATGATCAACAAATTCCCCTGACATTTCGTTTCGTTTTGAAGTTGACACGTGCGCGGGGGAAAACCGAATCCGAAACCGAAAAGTTGAAACTGTTCCGCGATCCACCCCCGTTTCTGAATTATATTCCCTTCGTTCTTTTTTTTTTTGTCATGATCCAGTGCTTAGAGTCACATGGCATTCCCCATTTCAGACCAAATCCCCTATATTCTCTTGTTGCGTTAGTGAAATGAAATGATTTTGAGTAATTTATTTTATAGTCGCGCTGAAGTATTTATTATTTTGAAAAGCGCCGAACAATGCCATGATTAATTTCGCTGCATGTGGAGCAAGTGGCCAACCGCACGGCAGCCCCAACCCCGCTTCCCCGCAGCCCCTGGATGCCATGGTTCCCCTAATCCCTCCGAAAATTCCTTGCGGCATCGAAAGTTTTTCTTTTTCTGGCTGCCATTGATTGCCGAACATATTTGGGTTGCTGCTGCTGTTTCTCGTTCTTTTTTTTTTTTTTTTGTTGGGGTTTTTGCGTGTTATTTATTCGATTTGATTTCGGCTCCTCCGTCTGCTCCTCTGCAAACATGTTGCAAAAGCAAAGGTTCCTCTTAATCCACAAGGTGTAATTCCGGGCACAATAATAGCATCACATTTTTAGGTTTTATTTGTATAAATATATGTAGGAAAATTTTGGTCAATAACTTTCAATTTATTTTATTTATTTTATGTATTTTATTTGGATCATTGATTTTTGTAAATATTATATATTTATTTTTATATAAGTTTTATTCAATTCAAGTAAAAACCATAAAATCTGTAGAATATATTTATGTAATCTCTAAATTCAATATTGTTACCAATTCATCATTCCTATTTTTTTGGCCATAGTTTTTCCACAACAGCTGTTTGCTGCTTTCTCCTCCTTTTCTTTGTGCCCCGTGGGCTATAATTCAGAATCAATCGTTATGCTTTTGGCAGCTTGCAAATTTTTCTTTATTATATCATATTAATTTTATGAGTCTTGTTTTTCCTAAACCGCCCTTGGAGCACAACTCCTACCCCATTTCCTATCGTTTTCTCGTTGGTTTATTGCATTTAAAAGATATTTTTCATATCAATGAAGCTTCCACGTTGGGGCACACACACATACACACACACGCAAAGCCACCAGAAGAAAGGAAAACAAAAGAAAAGGAAAAAGTTTGCTAAATTTCCTAAAGTCATGCAAACATTTTTTACATATATCGATTTTTTTGCTGCTGGGGTCGACGGGGGTGAGCCTCGTCTTGTTATGACAGGCTCAAATTGGGTGCTATCAAAATTATATATTATTTTGCATAATATCTTCTTCTTCGGCTCAGAGTCGCTAGGATAGGTAATTTGATGCGGCATGAATTTCATGTCCCACAGCGATTAGGTTTTTCCCACCCACTTCCTTTTAAGTGGGTGCACTTTCTCCTGAAGCGACTTTAAGCAAACTTTTGGCGAAACTTTGAACGATGTCTCATTTGTTTGGGGAGCAGCACTTAAGCACTTTGATTGTCTGAGCTTTGTCAAAGGTGAGACGCCAGGTGTTTTTCGGTGGGGGAAGGAAAAACGTTGGGAAAGCCCGAAAGAACTTCCCAGTTATCCAGCTTAATGCAGTCTGAAAGCTTCTCTTTTTAGCAGACACACAGAAAAGCAGTGAGGGAATTGCACTCAGAAAAATAGTAATTTGATAAGTAGAGTGGATGCAACTCTAAAAGTATCGCACTAAGCATGCTTTTAGCACACAAACTTTGTTTAAAAATGTCGATAATAACTAGTTCTAGGTTAAGATAAAAGGAATTCGAAAAGAATACATTCATTGGGGGGAAAATCGAATTCTTTATAGCTTAGGCGAAAAAATATAAAAAATCAATAAATAATACTAAGTGCACTAAAAGGTGAAAGAGCTTAAATACTATTTTCATTTTAAGCATTGACTTTTGCTCCGTGTGGTTCTACAAAAAGAAATTACCGCCAGGAAAAAGGGAAAAGTGGGGAGAACTCTGTAAGAGGAATTCCTTAAGGTGTCGAACCATTTATGACCTGCCATAAACACGTGTAAATCCCGTTCATTATGGAAAAGTCACGATTTCTAGTGTCAATATCGTAAATACAGACAACTCCGACTTCGACTTGGCGAGAACTCCAACCTTTTGAGCATTTTCATTTGGCATTTTCAACTCCACCCGCTGGCGCAATAAAACCGAAAACCCAATTGGAGCTCCCACATAATCTGTATCCATCCATCCATCCATCCAACTATCTATCTATCTATCCGTCCACCCATCCATCCGGTTGTGTGTCCGTGTGTATCTGTATCTTGAGCGCTACACTCGATTACCCAGCTCGACGATCTAATCACTTTGAGTGATGGATTCGGTGCATTGGGACTCCGTCTAGCTTCGCGTCTACGGGTATCCGTATCTTCGCCTGCATTGGTATCTATACGGTATCTATGTCCGTCCGTCCGATCCCAGACGGACTATCTATCGCAGTTGCGTGTTCTGTTTGCATTTTACAAATGTCAACAAAGGCAAATGCACTTTGAGGTTCTATTAGTGGTCAGGTGAGGGTTGATAAGCGCGGAGGAGCGCTGCATTTGATGGACAGACAGCGGTGCGATAAGTGAAACCTTCTCCACCGGCGACTCTCGCAGTGCTTTTCCAACTCACACCGTAAATAAATTTACTAAAATCCAAAAATGAATTCAAAAAGTATTTTTCGCTTTACCCACTTTTAAGCATTTCAAAAAAACTTTTATCGCAGTGCAAGTTTCACCTGGTGGTGGGTGGTTCCTCGGCTAAGTAATCCATCATAAAATTAGTTTGGCTGCCACAAATGCTACGAGCGTTAGATTTTTCAACCAAGATTATGATAAAGTTAAGCCAAGCGGTGAAAAGGGCTGAGTGCTACATTTGTGGTATCAAAATAATACGTTCGGCTCGTTGAATAAATATTAATTTGGGGAATTACTTGTAGGGTTATGCTTTGGGTAGGCAATGCCAACTGAGGCGATCAAATGGGTGGATGTTGAATGGATTGGACGGATGATGTGGGTCAGACACGCTATTCGTTGGCAGCACCAAAAGTTCTAAAAAAAGAAACAAATTTCGGAAGTTCCTGAAATGCATAAAACAGAGTTTGAAATCATAGAAGAGCTTTAAACTTACAGTTATTATTTAAATATTAAATAGGAAACAGAACGTCAACTTAGTAAATAAGTTGAACTTACTTTCCCAACCCAAACTTACTTTTCAGTAATGTACAATAAAAGCCTTGACCCACACAAACCCAAAAAAGCCAACTTGACCTCACTTAACCCAACCCAATTTCAGACATTTATCCAACCTCAATTTCATCAACATTGGGACACATCCCAAACGTATCCCCCCTCATCTTCACTTATCAATTGAAAAATACTCCTGAGAGAAAAGCCAATACCATTTCCATGTTGCTCCATGCATAATAATAATTTGCAAAGGGCCAAAGCGAAAAGTCAATCTAATGAAAATCAAATAAAATAACTCAGAGCTTCTGGGAAAGGAAAACGAAGGACTAACGAGTATTTTCCATATTTTACAACTTCCCATGAAGAAGAAATAACAAAGGAACTTTATTAGGGGAGGGAAAATTCACAGAACCGCACCGAGAACTCAGAGAACTTGGCAAGCCCTGCTAATTTCAGACTTAATTTAGGTGACTCTGTCACTCGGTCCTCTGGCCAATTCCCCACTTTGGGCCCATAAGCAATCGGCAATCGTATTATTGGCATTATGACCGGGCAATAGACCCCACCCTCGCCCCCCTCCCCTGAGCAATTTCAACTTCCGCCTACGACATTTTGATGGAGGCGCCTAAAACTCAACAAATGCCGCCTGCAGGAAATATTAAAGCTCAAACCGACGGCAACGACTAAACTTGGGGGTCATAAATGGACAGTGGATCGCAAATTGTCATTGGTCACGTGCAGGGTGAAGGTTTGGGGAAAGGGGGAGGAGTGGGGGGAACCCCACTTTGTTGCCGTTGTTATTTGAAAATATAGAAATAAAGGGAGCCAAGACAAAAGCAACAAAACAAAAACAGAAAAAAAGGAATGAAAAAATCAAAGGAACATTTTACGACAATTGCTGTTGTTGCTGCCGTTGATGTTGCTGCTGTGCATGTTGCTGTTGTACAAATTGCTGCTGTTGTTGATGGCGTCGTTTGAGTCATTGGCAATTTGTCGCCAGCAATTGTTTGTTGGATTGTCGTCCAGGTGTTTTATTCTCCCTTTTTTTTTTGGGTGGGTCTCTGGGTTGAGCAATCGACTTACACTCTGCAGTAGTTCCATTTATAGATGTTTAGTTTCCACCTCCAATTTCTCCATTTGTACCCGTCACCCGGAAGAACGATACGTAAACATATCTAATTTGATTTATTTCCTGCAGCATGGTCATTCTATTTGTAATGCTTCTCGTTGGCGCCACGAAAAAGCTTCGAAGATCTCACACTGAGTTCCCCGAAGGGCTTTCGGCCATAGTTTTACAGAAGCCCCGCAGAGTTGGGCAACACAAATGATCTGAATAATTACCTTATCGACAGGGAGCCAGAGATCGGGATCACTTGAGGCGATTGTCAAAATATTTTCACAGTTGCAGGCAAAACAAATAAATAAATAAATAACCGAAAACGAGATGGACGCACGTTGGCTGGGATCTAAATGGATGACTGATTGACTGAGTAATTGCCCTGGCACTTGGCCTGGCCTTTTGTTTGTTTTCATAAAAGTTCTAAATGAGCTTAGCGAATGGGGCTGCATTGATGGCTTTCCGCCGCGGGAGATGCAAAGAGTGGGAAAGTGCAATGCACAGAACAAATGCATTTTCCCCAAATGGAAATGCTCCGTTTTCATTTATCACACATTTTTTTTGTGCATTTAATATGCTTTAAATTTTTCATGGAAGCAATTTTCACTCGGACTTAACTCGGAAAAAAATATTCCATATTTAATAATTTATTTTTTGTCAATTAGCACTTTGCTATTATAGAAATACGATTTAGCATAGATTTAATTGCATTTTATGAAACTTTAAATATTTAAACTTAAAGATTACCTTCTGTATTCTAAAAAAGGGTATACTTCTTATTTTTCAAACGATTGGACAATCAGTCATCCAGATCTTTATGACTATAGATAACATGAACTTCCCCTTTTTATTTTGAAAAGATTTTATTCCTTTGAATTGCTACATGACTATAAATTTTATCCATTGACTTGAACTGTGAACTGATGTAGGGAATGGAAAAAGGGTAATTCCCAAAGCAACATCCCAGTTTGAATATTTTATTATCCGATTCCGAGAAGACCGAACTCAGAAACATTGAATATGACACATAATTCCATATTCCACGAACCTGAATGAATTTTTTGTGGCTCCCCGCTCAGTTCATAAATTGAGTGCTGAGGAAACCAGAATTAGTTCCTCGACGCAGAGATCTCCATCAGTCTGAAATGTTTTCGAGGAGGAAGAGGAGGCAACATGTTGGGCCTATCATGTTGACGCCCACTTAAAGTGGCACAATTATGAGGCGACAACATCGGACGCGGAACGCTTAACATCTTGCTGGATCTCCGGCAAGGCGGTCGCTCGCCTCAATTCGTAGCGATCCGCTTAATTATAGAATACACGATGCGGGAAATTTGTTGCACGCACCATTAGCGGCCAAATGTCCGCCAGTCAGCCAACGTTTCCGACTAAATTTGTCAAAATAATGCCGCGCCAATAAAAATAGAAAAATCGGAGAGGCGAAAAAAGAACACTGAAATGCACTTCTGTCACTCTGGGCGATCGTTCAATCAATATCAGGCCGAGTGACAATAAATCTTTTAGAGGCCCCCCAAACAACTAATTTCCGCTGGACTTCAAAGTCGGACAAAGATCGGGGGAATTGCAAAAGTTCAGAGACATATTAGTTTGGATTCCGATTGAGAGTGTGTGAACATTTGCTGCATAGACTGCAATTAGCAATTGAACTCTTTCGTATCTGTATCTCATTGCGGCCCTCGCCTAATCACTTTGATCTGCTGACCCAAATACAAATCCCATTTTGGAGCCATAACAAATTGCATTTGGCCCCAATGAATTATATCATTCATCCGATTACCAATTGCTTCAATTTTATTTTATTTTCCTGGCGCCTCGCCCTCTTGACTCTTCGATATTATGCCCCTTCTCCGGTCCATGTGGCCCCTAATTTATTTGAGTGTGTTTATGCATATCGGGAGAGGATTTCGATTTCGATTCCGATTGCCTAATGGCAAATGTTACTTATGGCGCTCGGAAATCCGGAAATGCCAATGAAATCAAGCAGAGAAATGGGAAACAATTTCTCGGATATTCGGGATTGGGCAATTCCTTCCATCTAGCAAAAACTCATTAGGAGAATTTATTATTTATTTGGAATAGTTGGTAGTTTACATCAGAAGAGAAGAACTGTTGATGAGCCTGTATAATTAAGCACCTAAATTTCATAGAATTTTAAATTCTATTCACTGAAATCCTCTTATCAAAATTCCATTAAAAGTTTATAATTCTGTAATGCGTAACTTCCCCCAATCTTCTTTACAAACGCATGTGCCTATAATATAACCATTTTTATATTACTGCTCCAATCGTTATAAATTGGCCATTAATCGAGTTAGAACGCATTAAAATAATTGAATTTCAGTTCAAATGAATGGGAAGAGCCAGTCGGATTTGGCAGTGGGAGGTACAGAGCTAATCTAGATAAATATTGATTCATATTTGGAAAGCCATTCGGTGTTCATCGGTTCCCCTCTGGGGGCTAACCCAATTATGTGATAGGGGATATGGCAGAAGGTTCCACATATAGGCACGTACGACACGCCCTTTAATGCCGTTGTTGGTGTTGCAATCCAAAATATGGAAAATATAATTTGTATAATTACAATGCCTTTTGATAATACCAAATACATACCAATCAACAACAAAAACAGCAGCAAAGGCACAAATGAACCCAAAGTTGTTCGCGGGGGGCCCCCAAACCAACACCCTAAAATGGTGAGGAGACCAATAGTATTTTGGTTTCTAGTTGGGAAGATTTTAATACAGAATGTTTGTTATTCTATTTGTAAAAATAAAATTATTTAATTGAGGGATTACAAATAGCGCAAATTGATTCTGAAAATAGGTCGCAATACAATTAATTAAAAACAACCTAAGCTTATTATTTCCCTTTACATTTTTAATTATAAGTAAGTAAATTATTTACTTATCGTTATTTGGTTGTTTTCAAATTTTAATTTTATATATTCGTTGTTTATAATCTAAATGAGCAAGGCAGTACAACTTGAACACCTTATTAAACGAACATGCTCGTGTCACGCGACCATCTCCAAAGGGGCGACAACTAATTGAAGATTGCCCCGCCCCCCACAAGTTACCCCCCTCTGGGCGGCGGCACGCACACCGCGGTGCCATCGAATCGATGTCGCCGTGGCTGGAACAGCGAACCTCACCCAAAACGACCTGGACTATTCGGAACTGCGGCGGAACGTGGCTGCGGAGGCGCCACTCGCTGCGCCGATGATGTCTCCATGTCGGAATCCGCGGAATGGAAATGACCGACGAACTCGCACTGGAGGGGAACCCTTTCAGCGAGCGGGCTTTATCATCAAAGGGGAATCAAGCTGTCAGTCAATTTATAGTCGCAGCAAACACACAAAGGACAGAAAGCGATGTGGCGATAGGGTCAGGTCAGAGTTCATATATTTCAATTAGGGAAAGCCGCAATAGCGGTTTCCACAATGCCAACTGCCAACCGCCGTACTTCCGAATCGTACTCATTGTGAATTCAATAGATATGGATAGATCTCTAAAAGGTTTACCTATTAATCTATGTATTTACTTTCATTTTTAGGACCGCTTTCGGAGATTTTGACTGCCACTGGTTCGGAAGTCGCGTTGCCTTGCGATCTTCTGCCTGCCACAGGAATCGCCGATAAGGTGCAACTGGTCATCTGGTATCGCCAGGGAAATGTCAAGCCCATCTATACGTAAGTTGAAAAAGATATATATAGTCCAAGTAAAAAAAAAAAACAAGCTTTTACAAATATTTAAATGTATATTTTACAGGTTTATAACTTTGTAAAGAAAATACTATAAAATAGAAATTAAAATTCTGTAAACTCCTGAGAGTATCTATTTTGTTCCCATTAATAACCATTATATCCTGCTCAAAAAGTGTATTCTCCAGTTTAATAAGCCCCAAATTAGGCTCCCTATTTATTCTTTTTCGACTTTCTAACCTACATCCACCTTCCTTACGAAATCCCTCCTGTATATCCTTTAAGCTTTCTTCATCTCATCACCCAAGTTTACAGCCCCATCCGTTTTGGGATTCACATTTTCCGTCTATATTAAAATCTCCTCCACTTCTCAGTCTCCTGGGATTGTTTCACACAGTAATGCCCCGCTAAAGTGTCAGCTAAATTTCACTTAATGATTTTAGCATGGGTAACCCTCGCTTGAGCTCATATTTTTTTTTGGAATTAGCCAAGGAACCGAAATGAATTTGGCTTCGATTCCGCTGGGAATGGCAGCCAATTATACAGAAGCTCCCCGTGTTAAGTGGGCGGAGTGGGTGTGGCCTTACAGAAAGCCATACAGAGTCACCCAAAGCGGGCGCTAGCTCATTATAAATTCTATTAACGTGAGGCATTTATGTTGAATTTGACGATATAAACATTACTTACACAGAACAACCTAAACGCGTTAGGAGGGGGTCTTGAGTTATGTGGGTGGGGTTTTGGAAAAATACTACCACCCCACCAACCCGCTGGGTTACCACACGGAAAAAGATACCCATAAAATTAGGCAATTTCCGCTTATTAATAAATAAAACCACTTAATTTCTGTCCGAAAATTGTGAGTACATTATAATAATGGAGATAATTGTTAAAATAAATGTAAAAAAAAAAAAATGACTAGTTTCTTAATTTGAAGTAAGTATATAATTAGGTGATTTACTCCTTCAAAAACTATATTAAATTGAGTTAATATTACATGTGGTTTTTTTTAAGTGCCGAATTCGACACCTTAGCAATTTTTAACAAGCTCATAAGGGCGAAGCACAAAAGGAGAAATCATTTTGTGAGGCACTGTGCCAGGAAATGTCGCCAGTAATGGCAAGGAGGTGGTTCTGGGTTCTGGCAGATGGGTAATATATATATAAACCATATAGACCGACTGATTGGCAGCAGCAATTCGGCTCAAAGGTCGCTCGTTGGCAACTCACTTCTTCTCTTTTTGCCATTTTTCAGGAAAAGCCAAGATGGGAAATGCGATAGAGGGGAGAAAGTGGAAGGGGGCGAGCGGGGGGGACGTACCCAGTCAGGTGAAGTGGAGTGGAGTCTCAAGTAGACAGATGCGCAATAGACCAGAAATTGAATTTTATTTCATTTTCCATTAAATTCGTTCGTCTGTTCTCGTTGCACACAAATCGATGATGTCAAGTCAAAGTGTCAAAGTTCGCTGCCAGTGAATGTGCACTCCTGTGGTCTCCGGTACAGTGTGCCCTCAATTGCAATTACGATTTTGTGGTTGCGGAGCGGGAGGGGGATCTTTTTACGACCACATAAAGTTGAGGTTTATGCAGATATCTTTTCCCCAGCTCCTCTGCATATTGTTCTCGCCCGCATTTCTTTATTGTTTTCCATCAATTTTAATTTGCTTTTCCCACACTTCATAAATTTTCCGTTTTGTTTTCCGTTGCTCAAGCAAAGTTTTCTGGCGTGCTGGAAATTTCAATATGGCCAAAAGGCTGACAAAGGTCGAGAGATTAATTGCATGAGAAATTTGTTTTCCAATTGCCATGGATTACCCATGGATAACCTCTTGTCCCCCGTCACTCCACGATTCCACTTTTGTGTCCGGCTCTCACTCACTTCTCTACATAATTTAATTATGTTTAAAATCCATTAACAAATATCCCATCCATCTTGTGCCACTTACTCCTGTTCTTTTGGGCTGGGTTCTCTTCTTTTCGAGTGCATATCTCAAATGTGTTTTGTAGCTTGTTTCAATGATAAATCATCTAAAGTGTAGAGTGGGGCCTATGATCTCTTTAAAATGTAGGATAAGCAGGGGAAAGTCGATAATTGCGGCTAAGTGGAGCTTTTATCAATTAACTTAGGCCTGTTTAATTAGGTCTATAAACTGTTTTGATAACGTTAAATTTAGTAACTGCTTTGCTTTTTTAAACGCAAAAAAATAACGAAATGAAAGACTCCCTGTGTTTCCTTAGAAACCAGTTGGCAAAATTCTTAATCTAATTTTAGCCAGAGATTTTTTCTTCCCTTTGAAAATAATACTTTTATAGACCAGCACAGATTTTTCTGTGGTTTTTATTGCACAAGCCAAATTTAAATGTTGGCTCTTTAAAGCTTCTTGAAAGTGCCACAAAAAACACAGAGAACAACAACAATTAAATTCATTTTAACAATAAAGAGATATAAGAATTCAAGGAATACGAATATACAAAAATAAAATGGTAATCCGCTTAAGCCAAAAGGGAAGCACAACAAGCGCTAAATTGATCAATTAATTAATTGAAGAGGAACTATAAAATGAAAATGGAAAAACACGATTTTGTGGGCTGACTGGGCGTGTAACTTTAGGGCGTTGGAGGCATTAACATAAATAGCAAAAGTGTGTTTCTTTTTTCTTTTTGCAGAGACCTATCCCCTTACCCAGAAAACAACAAAAAAAGGTCAAACAAAATTCCGAAAAAAGAACGAAATGAAAAATCAAATTAAAAGACTCAAACCAATTTAAATGTGACCATTTAAAAATGCTAAAAAATGCGGAGATAAAAAACGAAAGCGAATGGAAATTAAAAGTTCTGTAAATGCATTTTACGATGCCTAGCCGATCTGATTTCGGAATGGAGCCCCCAGAGCCTTTGGGCTGTGTTGACATTTAATGTGGCACTTTGTCAAAATGCATTGAACAAAGCCATAAAACAAAAGCGTTCGGTAATAACAATAAAAACAAAGTTCTTTTTCGGCCATTCATGAACTGTTCCCTCCCTCTCTCTGTGTCTATTTTTGTCCCTATCCCGGGATTGTACTATATCTAAAAATAGTTTGACCCATGGGAAAGCTAATTAAGTATTCCGCTTTTAGTGGATTCCCCGGATTTGACACACATTTCACCGGCGATGTTGTCTCAATTGCTGGGACAGTAAAATCAATGAAGCAGGTTAACACAATTTGGCTTATCGAGGCTGGGTAATTGGTGAAACGTGTCGAAAAGGGTTTTTTTAATGGGGAACTCTATTTTATGTGGCTTTAACTGCCAAATACATAGTGGGGGATAGGGTTTTATTTATAGCTAGTCTAACCCGGCTTAAACATTTTAACCAACCCTTTTAAGAAGGGGTTATTTTTTTGTTATTATTACTTTGTAAGCAATTGCTTAATTGAAAATAAGAATATTAATCACCCACTCATGCAGTTTATTTTTTGACACCCTAATTTATTTTGAAATATTATTTATCATTGCAGTTTTGATGCTCGAGGTCGTTCCTTAACTCAGGCCATTCCTTGGGCGGATGAAAGTGTCTTCAATAAGAAGGCGCATTTCCATCATGATACTAATCCTCCTGCCCTGCGGATAAAAAACATACAAACCTCGGATGCTGGACTTTACAAGTGTCGCGTGGATTTCCACAAGTCACCCACTCGTAATTGGCGCATTAATGTGACAGTGCTGGGTGCGTGTATAAATATTAAATAAATTTAATTTAACATAATTTTTTCTGACCAAATCCTTTATTTTTCTCTACAGTTCCACCCACCCAACTGGCCATCCTGGATCACCATGGAGCCGAGATACGCGACCAGACGGCAGGACCTTACTTGGAGGGCGACAGCATCGACTTGACCTGCCTTTCGAGTGGTGGAATTCCTCCTCCACGGGTCTCCTGGTGGCGGGAACACGCCCTGATCGACGACTCCTTTCAGGTCCTGCCCGATGGCTCCGTTCGCAATGTCCTGCGCGTGAAAAACATCCAGCGGAAGGATCTCCTAACGGTAAGTCATCCACATCTATGGAGAGGGCTTTCAAGTGTTTGCTCCAAATATCGTAAGCCTTATTTACGACTTCGGCACAAAGCACCTTGCGGAACAATGCCTTGCTCCCACATTTCTCTTTCACAGTGCTGCCATCTAAATACCCAAAACCCGCAGATAAATAATGCTTTAGAAATATATACAGAAATAGCTATATTTTATTTACAAAAGCTGGGGCAGAAATTCTAAAGAAATGTTTTATTGTTTATGATTTATTAAAAAAATCCATTTGCCATATTTTGTACAAACTGAATCAGATAATCAATAATGTTTTGAGGTTTGAACTAATATTTTACTGTTTGTACCGTACTCGCATGTAAATCATTACGCTTAATAAGAGCTTCTTGGAATTTATCTTCAAATATATAAAAAATTTAATATTTAATACTGTAAAAATGTGTCTATAAAATAGCCAGGCTTGCAGCACTGCTGCCACTCATCCCTACGCTTCTCGTTGGCCATTTATATTCGGCTGGTCACAATGGACGTCTTGGTCTGCGGGCCTCCGTTAATGACAGCGCTCCGTGTGGCAAGCGGTTGCCATACAATGGCTAATAGAAATCAAATGCAACCGACTGCATTGGGAATTGTTCCCTGGGTGGTTCATGCGGCTTAAACCCGTCCCAATGGAAAATACCCTTCCACCGGAGAACGACTTCTCCCCCAGAGAATTCCCTTCCCGATGCTCTTCTCCCAGCTCTTTGGGGCTCTGCTGTTCTGTTGATTCTAAGCCGGATTTTTCTTTGGTCCATGTAATGAACATTATTGTTAGACAGCGCTAATCCTGCCATTCAGTTCCCGGTTTCCGTTCATGTTTGAACGGAAAAGCCAGAAACCCAAAAGCAAATTGTGAGTCGGTCAGGTCTTTTGTGTTTCGGATGAATGCACAGTGGTCGGGCTTGTATGGAACCGCGGCCATAAATACTTCTAGATGTGCTATCGCTATGAAACTTTCACAAAAAATCTATAAAAATATTATAAATACATTATAAAAAAATTGACCGGATCGTTCCACTATATCCTATAGCTTCCATAGGAACGATAGGAAATTTGACTCCCAAATGCACACTACACTTTTTTTAAAGCGTAACTGACAAAAATTATATTTATTAAACACATAATTTTGGTTAAAAAATTAACAAAAGATAACAAAAAATGATGACTAACATAAATTTAAAGTAATATAAAATTAATACGAAATAAAAACAAACGAAGGCACAAAACAAAAACATGCCTCCCTCCTAAATAGAGCTACTGGAAAATGAGGTAAGGTTGCATTTTGTTATGTCAAAAGTGCATCTGCAGGCTTCCGCAGCTGAAGTCAGCATTTTTATAATCTTGAAATATTAGTAAATAACGGCACATACATTTCATTGGGGGGCAAAGGGGGGAAAATACTTAAAACTTTACATAAACATTGGTAACGCACAACATATATGAACAAAAAAGTCGCACTTTTTTAACAAAGATTTACACGAAATACAGGACAAATTATTTATATATTTATCTTTAAAAATAAAGTTTATACCATTATATACAATATCCATTACAATCGTTTTTGGTTTAACACCGTTTTATAATATATTTAAAATTTTTAAATTTGTGTATGCACTCCACTGCAGTGGCTTTTAGTTTTTTGCTTGGTTTGTGCGCTCACTTTGCGCGCCAATTACTCCGCGAAGGTGTGGGGCAAAAAAAAATTAATAATTGTTTTTTAAGCCTTGTTCTATTGATAAACAGATGCGCCAAATTTGAAATCAAAATTCCAAAGTTGATTTTTTTATTTTTGGCCTATGGGACCGACCACTGTGGAATGGCTTGAGTGGAATCACTTGAGTGTTGTTCATGTAATACCAAAAATTATTAGCTTAAACTAAAGACACGAATTAAGGCTGCATTTCAATGGGTTTAAGCGTCGAATTATTGAATACAGTTTTCGTCTTTAGGGAAAATGTTTCAGTAAGTCAAAACAATATTGAAAGTATTAATAAAAACGGTGCAGATTACAAAAATATAATTCCAAGGCCCATATATGGTAGATTAATCTGCAAAAGAATATTTATAAAAAAATTCAGTTGAAAGCAAAAGGTATTATTGTAAATATATAGATTTAATTGCTATAATAAAAATGAAAACATAATCTTATTAATGCAGAAATATTAAAACTTAAAAAATAATTGCCTGATTAACATATCTGCCAATGAAAAATATTTCCCATCAATAAGCATATTGTTCGTGAAAAGCAGAATAACAAACAGTATGGCATTATATTATTATTATGTATTATAGTAATTCTATCTGAACAGTTGTTAAAGCTGAAAGCGCTTTGCAGTAGTTAAACTACCCAGATTAAATATCGAAAAACAAATTAAAGCGCTTGTGGTTATGAATTGCGGGTATTGTTCGCGCTTCTGCCAATCGATTTAAATTCAATAGTTCGAAAACCGTTCGATGCCATAATAAACACCTCGCAGTATCAATGACCCACTGTGTGACACTTCCCAGGCCAGAAAATTCCCTCGAGACCCCCTACCTGCCCCAATAAACCGACAGACCCAAGTATCTCCACATAACGCTAGATATTCTTGTGTAACCGAATAGAAATTTATGACCTAATTTTCCAATCGAAACGAGACTTGCGGTGCGGCGAACCCAAAAGTTATGCAAATATTTTTATTGTCAGACATCGTTACAGTTTTCGTTTGGCCCAATAAAATGACCGAAATGTATATGGTCCCGAGAAGTATCGCATTACCGAGCAGGGGAATTTATGATATTGATACTTGCATTCGCCAACCTTTTGAACTCTTTGTGGCTTGTCTCTGTTTTTCTGTCTCCGACTGAAAGCATAATTGATTAGTCTTTATGGGCGGCTTTTCTTGTTAGTGGTGCGTGTTCGATACACATTTCCCGCAATTAAAGTTAAATGTTGAGCAGGTTGATTTATCATCGATACTCGCCACTGCCCCATATTTTATTGAACTTTGTTATTATTAGGAAAAGGCAATTATTGTAATAAGCATAAATCATCAGGTTTCATTATTGTTCCCTCTGTTTTTACCATAATTCCAGATGTACACTTGCCAGGCGACCAACGGCCATGTGGTTCAAGCGCTGACCAAGAAAGTTATCCTCGAAATAAACCGTGAGTACCTCTTTAAACAGGCTTTTAATGAAATGCAGAACTATTATGTTTCGCAAAGTTTTTGCTGCTGACCCACGCAGTTCAAGGTCGGCCTTTTTTGGGGCCCTGTGGCTGGTTGTGGTTTATTGTTTCTGTTTTAGCTGGTGGGCGTGCCATTTTCATGGAAATTAATGTAATTAAAGTTTTGTCATTCAGCCGCAAGGACACACGACCACTCGCAAATTCATCCACATCCATGCATTTATGGTTATGCGGGCGGTGGTTCTGGTGGTTCAGCCCGCTATGCTAATCGCAATGTGGGTCCCCCAAGTGGCACGGGGGGGCCAGTGATGGGCATAATAAAATGTGTCATAAATAATGAACATTTCCATAAAGGTCGGTCGGTTATAGATGGGCAGGAAATTAAGCGGCATCCTTGGTAGCAAAATTTGCGCGGTGGCCTTCCATGGTAATAACTGAATTTGGCCCTGTTAATCAGCCGCTTTTATGCGACAATAATGGTTGCAGCAGGTGAACCTTCCGAATAAAACAAGGTTCCAGCTATACACTATTTATAGTGAATAGGTATAATGGGCCATCCTGTTTTATTTAAGATGCACTTGAAACTGCAACTGAAATCTCTTAGTTACTTTGATAGGAGCCTAAATGAGATTATTGATAAATGGGAATAGGAAGTGTTTTATGTTTTATGAGTTAATTGTTTTTTAGCAGCGCAGATATAAATCCAACTTGATTTATTGTTTTTCCTCTGCAGTTCCGCCACTCAGTTTGCTTTTGCAAGGATTAAATCACGCCGTAATAGCTGGAACCCGAACCCATGTAACCTGCACGGCGATTGGAGCTCGTCCTCCGCCGGAAATTGTTTGGTCCAAGGCGGGTCAGATTGTCAGAGGAGCTACCTCCTCGGTGAGTTTGAGCTAACTAGTAACTAGAAGGAAATAACCTAGCAAACAACCTATTGTATCTATATTTAATTAGACCTCCTCCGATGGAAACACCACCATATCGGAGCTAATGTTGATCCCTGTTCCCGAGGATAATGAACGGCAGGTGGTCTGCTCGGTTTCCCTAAATTCAGGCATTACCTCCCAACAATTGCACGAGGGCCACACAACTGTGATGACAACTCTGGGAAATGGACACACTGGACTGTATCTCAAGGACTCCAGGGTGCTAAATGTGACACGTAAGTTGGCTTAAAGGGATGCAAGTTTTGATTGGAAATCAAATTGAAATTCTTCTGCAGATGCACCAATTGTCAATCTGAATCTGGGAGCTCCCCTCGATCCAAATAATTTACTCAAGGGCACCGATGTCTACCTGGAGTGCGAAGTGAAAGCAAATCCTGCAATTACACGTGTGGAGTGGTATCACAGTGTGAGTATAATTAAGGGATATATAAATCTTGATTCTCATACATAACAGTGTAAAATTTCTCTTCATTAAACCCTTAACTGGCAAACCTTAACCGCAATAACCACTAATTGAATAATATTTGTTATCCCCTCGTTTCCTTTTCAGGACAAGCAACTGCACTCCTCGCGGGGCATCATCATCTCGAACCAGACCCTCGTCCTGCAGGGCATTTCGAAGTCCTCCCATGGCCAGTACTTTTGCAGGGCCAGCAACCTGCAGGGCAGTGTGTCCAGCAACGAGGTCTACTTGGACGTCAAGTGTAAGTGCCGTGCCGTGGCCCACACAACCCACTCACTTAACTTTACTACTTCAACCTTGCACTTAAAAGAAAAAGATATAGGTTAAATCTCAAAATATTGCCATCATATATATTGAAATTTAAATAATATTGCATCTATTAAAATTTAAAAATATGTTCATTTATTTTCATTTCATAATACTATATTATCCAATCAAAGTAGCGTAACCTATTTAGTTTTCTTGACTTCCTTTAATTTTTATTTCTGTGCATTCATCCTTATTTCAGACCCACCCGTTTGCAAGTCGGAATCGACGATTATACGTGCCGCACTGAAGCAGACAATCAACATCACCTGCGAGGTGGACGCGAACCCACTCGATAATCTAAATTACAAGTGGCACTTCAACAACTCGCTGGAGAGCCTCATCGAGCTGCCGCAACTGGGAGTGCCGGCTCCGCTGATGCTGGCCACCGGATCGGATTTGGGCGGATACTACCAGCGGAGCAAGCGGAAGCACTCGCACGGAGTGCAGCAGCGGCTCCTCCACGGAAGACACGGCCGCATGGCAGCCGTGCGGTTCGAGGACGAGGACGACGAGTACGGCGAGATGGAGGAGTACGGCGAGGAGGTGGGACAGCCCTTCACCCAGATGGTCTACTCGAACATGGTGCACAAGAACCACGTGGAGAACAGCAAGCAGCAGCAGCGGAAGCAGCTGTCCAACCAGCAGCAGCAGCAGCAGATGTCATCCGGCGGTTTCCCCGGAGACGGACACCACAGCTCCTCCTCGTCCTCCTCCTCCTCCTCCTCTTCTTCCACCTCCTCTGCCAGCGGAGTCCTGGCGGAGCGAAAGCGACTGGCCGCTTTGCACAAGCAGCACCACCGAGGAGGCGTGGCCACGCCGCCCACCACCACCTCTGCACCGCCGCTGAACAACGTGTACAGTTACCACGTGGAGAGCTACGAGAGCTTCGGCGCCATTTCCTGCGTGGCCAGCAGTCTGATGGGCCACAGTCCGCCCTGCTGGTATCACATCCAACCGGCAGGTGAGTGAACCGGGTTGCGTCCGAAGGGAGCGGGCTGATAAGGAATGCCGGGGATGGGCCAGGATGTCAGATGGATCGGGCGGGGATACTCTTTCTGGCAGTCTATGCATGGAGTCACCTAAGTTATCTAGAAAGGGAAAGAAAAAAAGATACGGAAAAGGATTTTATCTAAAGAACTATTTTCTGGGGTTTAAGCAACGAATCTGAAAAGAGATTGAAGTTTAAGATTAAAGAAAAAAGTGATTAAACTTTAAAATGTTTTTACTTACATTTATATTTTTTTATGTTTCTCAGACTCCTTAAAAAGTATTGAAAAGAAACTGAATTTTTTTTTTTTACTTTTAATCAATATTGTTCTTCAAGAGAGTTTACAATTGTCTTAAAAATAATAATTGTTGGATAAATAGTTTCAAGCAATATTTACACCGATACATCATTTTACCAATGAACTTGTTGTTAAACTCTTTTTTGCATTTGCGTGCGGAAATGTTTGTAGTTAAGGAGTTAACCAGCCGAAGTGTTTAAACTCGTCTCTTTTTGAAGAGTATGCAGAAGGAAAAAAATTTAATTAATTTCAGATCGAGGCGGCGGCAAACATGTTGACTCGAATCGCATCGGCTGCCGACCCGGTCGGTCAGTAGATAATTGTGGCACGCAGCACGTACGGATGGAAAAGCGGCGAGTGAATCTCTGCACGTTATTTACATTTGCCTGCCAGGCGACAATTTAACGCGTTGCCCCGCCTGTCCGACGGTTGTCAAGGGTTAAGAGTGGGGCAGAGGGGTTAAGCGGGGTGCAGAGGGGTCAAGCGGGGGGCGGTTGGCACGAAGGGAAGCAGCAACAGCATCCTCCTGTCCGTCCGGCAATCGCCCGGTTTTGTCCCTGACAGCAATAAAAGCCATGTTTACCAACGCCATCTGCGTGTTTGCTTCCGCGATGTTGCCGCTGCCACGCTGCCACTGTTGCAACTACTGCAATCTGTGTGTGGCCCGATAATCTGATAATCAAATGCAATAAATTGCCAGGGTACATCATTTATTTATAAAACCTCCGCCGGCCATGGCCCAAAAACACGCAGCTATTTCGGTGCGCGGCCGCGGGAGAAGCACTCCAATTGAAAGGCCTTCAGCGAGAGTGTCCTGGTCGCAGGACATGGGACACGGGCATCCTCTCGAGCGACAGGCTTTCAGTTTGCCAGTCACGGAAAATTTAGATGGAACAACTGCATACACAAATAGTCGATTTAGGAGTTTCTGAATTTAAGCGCGGGTCATTAGTTCAACAGAAATATATTTCAAGGATAATGGAAAAATATTTGTAGAATTTAGAATCCCATGAGGGAAATTCCTTGGGCAAATTAAATAAAATACTTGAAAATTATTTAAAAATACTTTATAATAAATACTTTATAATTAATACTTTAATATCTAATTTTTAAATATGTCTGATTGTTGTTTTTATTAGACCTTCCCGAACCGGTGAAGAACTGCTCGGCCTTCAATGCCACGGCGAACTCGCTGCAAATCCAGTGCATTCCCGGCTACGATGGTGGAATTCCTCAGCACTTTCACGCCCAGATCTACGATGAACTGAACCGGCAGATCCTGTACAACGCCTCGTACAAGTATCCGGAGTTTACGGTGAAGCGGCTGCCCAGTGACTCCGTGTTCGTCATCCGGATAACGGCGGTGAATGCCCAGGGTCCCAGCAAGGTGGCTTATCGCCTGCGAGGACGTACGCTTTCAGCACCTTTGCTTCGAACAGGTGAGTCAAAGGACATCAGAGATGCAGTTTTCCTTAGCCATTTTAAAAGCCAAATATTCCGTCGAAAATGTAATTAAAAACTTTCCCGAAACCTTCTTGATTTAAACTTTTTCCGGAAGCTATTTCTTTATATTCATTAAATCATTGTTCAAAACAGTTTTCTGTCCTATAGTTTCCTTCTTTTGAATAAAGTATTGATGACATTTTTTGTGGCTTAAATAATTATTTGAAAATACAATTTTCAGTTGTATAACTTCGTTTGAGCAATGTTAATTATATTGATGTTATACAAACTACCAAAAATATTGGTTTACTTAATCATTGCGGCTTTCCATTATTGTATAATATTGTATTAACCATTTTGGTTACTTTAATTGGTATCATTCACTTTGTGTTGCCCGTTAAAAGCTCGAAAACGGGCACGTTGTTGTATCCCGCTGATATCCGTATTTTGTCATTCAATTTTCACATTTCCCCCCGTTTTTCTGCTCTCCGTTTTCGCGATTTCCACAGCCTCGTCGACGGCGGTGCTGGTGCAACTGACCCCCCTGCTGGGCGCCCTGGTCGGCGTGGTTGCCACACTCATTCTGGTGGCCATTTGCGTGGTGATCGTTATCAAATTCCGCAGCAAGGGGAGTGGGAGGCGCCACGGGAACGGGAGCGATGCCACCACCACGGAGGCGGACAAGGGGAGCGCCGAACCGTTGTCGCGCAACATGGGCAGCCACTCGAGCCTCGAGGACAAAAACCCGGATGTGGTGCCCCAGGAGGCCAACAGCGAGGACGAGTTCCACCAGGAGGAGAAGGCCTTCGACCGATTGAATATGGAATCGCAGCGGATTCTGTACACCCCGCCGTCCCGGATTAACACCGCCTCCCCGCCGCCGCCCTCACTTTCGCCGACTTTTGGCAAACAGGTGAATACAATTGTCCATTGGACGGTATGCTTTCTGATTCCCCAGATTCAATTCAGCGCATTGCAAATGGTTGATATCACGAGTGGAATTAAAAACAATGGGAAGCTGCCTACTTTTTGGCTGTATCTTTAAACTCAGAATAACTGAGAATTATAAGGGGTTTTTTGGGGCTCCAGATAGTTTTTTATTTACGAGAAGCAAATTAGTAGAATATTAATTGTAATCAAAGAGATTTGGTTTTAAAGAGTGATTATTAATACGCCTTTGTAAAAATTAAAAAAAGTTTTATACCACTTTGAATACAATTTTAAAATAATTGTTGAGCGATTGGCAAAGCAGACTGAAAGATCTTCCTGAAAGAATTATTTAATATGTACATAGGTACTCTTAAATTTGCCAATTTCCTTGTCATTGTCTCCTAAAAAGGTAAAAGTCAAGGTTTTCTCTCTCGCCTTCCTTTCTTATTGTACTGGCTGCCAATTAGCCAGAAACCGTAAATAAATTACACAAATTAGTTTCGTTGTTTTCCGCACCAACAACAAGTTGCTGGCCCAGCCAAACTTTTCCTTAGTGTCCACATCCAGTGCAGTTTTTGCCTAAATTTTTATCATTGTTTGGTTTTCTTTTTTTTTTCTCCTGTTTGAGGTTCGGCGGCCAAGTGGTGGAGGCATCAAATTTTGATGAGCAAAATGCCAGTCGACGCCAGCAAAAGTTCAAAAATGTTTAGCTTTTTGTTTAGCTTGGCTTTTTGTAAATTTCTGTCGGTCTGTCCCTTCGAGTTGAGAGAGCTCCTAACAAGCTCATTAGAAGTTCTTGGTGTTTGTGTGGGTCAGTTGTTTGACAACTTTTCGATTGGAGGGTTGCGGGAAATCCTCATCAAAGTTTGCGCTCAAATATGACGGATCACAAAAGCGAACTAATTAAAAACGAAGCAAGAATCAAATTAGTTTACTATACCAAATGGAAAGTAATTAAAGTGTTGATTTTTTTATTATAAATATTTCTTTAAACACTCACATTGAATATTGAAAGGTATTTACTATCAACAATGTTTTAATTATAAGTGATTAGGATGCAGTGTACAAAAATCAATAAAAAGTACATTTGTTTCTTTTAGTTCTTAATAAATACATAGTAATTTTTTATGAAAATATTTATGATTTTTTATATTTTTTTTAAATATTTTTCTTTCAGTACGGTGAACTCTCGCTGACCACGAACCCCGCCTTCAGCTTGTACAACACGCCCCAGCGAGCTCCTGCCGTTCAGCGACCCGTTTACACCGCCCCGCCGCCCCTTTTGTCGACGCGGACGCCCCCGAACATCTACACCCGCATCCCGGGGCGAGGGGGTGGCGGGGGCGGTGCAACGATCACGGCGACAGGAGCCGGCGGCTATCACCTGCCGGCGTACGAGACCAGGACCTCGCCCACCTCGCCCTACGGCTCGACGACCACGTGCACGATGCCCCTGCTGGGCGGCCAATCCTCCAATGGATCGCTGCAGACCAACGGCAGCGGGCTGGGAGGCGTGGGCCTGGTGGGCGGCGGCGGGGGATGCAACACCCTGCCCCATCCGGGCAGCCTCCATGTGGGCGGCATTTCGGCGGCCTTGACCAGTTCGGTGACCAGTGGAAACATCACAATTGGAGCGGCTCAGTCGCTGCTCACATCGCCGCGCTCCCAAACCGCCACGTATAGCACCACTTTGGGGGGCGTGGCCGGGGTACAGTCACCGCTGCTGATGAGCGGCGGCGGGAACTACGAGACGGTGAGCTCCTGAGAGTTAGCCAAAGAGGACATCAAGTGTCAGATCGTGTGTATTGGCGGGAGCAGTACGTGCACCACCACAACTCTTGGCGCCGAGCGCACCACCATCGTCTAAGAGCAAAATATATAGGACGAAGTATATATATAGTCGAAGAGGTAACTGAATCCCAAAATCTGTATTATAGTAGTTAAGCTGCATCGAAAAAAAAAACTTGACAAGACTTCCAAACAAAGAGTAGCAGCAGGAGCAGATGGATAATTAATTTAAAACTCATATGAATATAGACATAGCCTGTGTGTACTGGATTTAGCATTGTTTCTGGACCCGACTAAACCGTAACTGTAAGCCACAAACGAAGAGCATTTATTTAGTTACCACTGTACAACTCGAGAGAAGAAAATAGAGAGTGGAATACTTCAGTGAACTTAATGAGCTATGCTTGTGAAATTAACAAAAAGGAAATAAAACTAGTTTAAACTTCAAACTAAGAGATTTACCGAATCGCAACTAGTTAAGCTATAGACGTGTGTATATATGTAACTTAATTTAGGATCAGGTCAGCTAATACTTAAAATAGTTTAACGACTTAGCCACTTAATGTAGCCTAAACTAAATTGAACTTAGTTAGTCACATTGCGAATCTACGAAAAGACTATCCCCCTGATCATATATATGATAAAATTACAGAATTTAATGGCATATCTCTATATCGACATAATACATATAGCACAACACAGCAGCAGCAACCAACAAAGGAATCTGAAATAGGCGCAAACTATATATATTACGAGTATAAACGATACGATACGATACAATACGATATGGTGTGGAGTAAAATGAATTATACTTGTAAATGTGCATCGAATCATATTTTGTTAAATGTAAAATGAGATTTTATAAGCATCTGTTGTCGACAACTTTATCAAATCTATATAGTACGAATATATAAATGATCTGTATGTTTCCATGATTACTGCGCGCGCAAAAAACAAAAAATAAAGTTCAATGTGTCTCCGCCACAACCTGCTCCCCAAAAACAAAATCCCAATTTCCACTTCAATGTAGTCGCTCTAAGGTCGAACTTAAAGTTTTCCCATTTAAAGATTCTTTATCCGATCACGATCACACCCTTCCCACCACAAACAAAAAAAACCCAACATGCAAAGTGCTTCTTCAATGACAAAATCAAATTGAATTGTGACTCGAATTATAAATTGGAAAACGAAAAACTTAAGAATGAAATTTAATTTTGGTTTAGACTTAGCCGCTAAGAAATTTCGACTCTACAAAAATAAACTTAGGTATATATATATTTTCTTAAATAACATTTGATTTACTGAATTAAATATTTATTTTCCGTGCAAACATCATTACTTTTTGTTTAGTTCCCTTTAATGTAAAGCAAATGAAAACTTAATATTGCAAATAAGCAAAAAAAAAATAAACTGAAAATAAGTGAACAAAAAATAAAGAAGAAAATGTGTATAAAACTGTCGTTTTTGTTTTAATTTCCACAAAGGGAGCTTAACTGTGTGCAGGAAAGCCAAAACTCAGCTGGAAAACAGAAAGTGGAAAATGCCTGACCAAAAAAAGTGAAATCCCCGGCAGTGAGGCTTGATATGCGCTCGGACAGCTCGTTTTGCCTGATTTATTTGGAAATATTTTTCATAATTTGCGGCAGTTGGGGGTCCAGAGAATACAGATACCCGTAACAAGCCCATTTCACCACAGGACATGAGTCGTGTACGCATATTTGTCCTTTTGGCAGGACACGCAATACACTTTTGGAATTAATTAACGCAACCCCAGACGGGGGACGAAAACCACCGAATACAACTGAACCACCCAGGAACCCCATACAGAAAACAGAAAACAAAGCAACGACATGTGTGAGTGGTTGTGGAGTGGTGCAGGATGGCTGTGTATGAATGAATGGTGTGGATGTGGATATGGAGGTGGAGGTGGATGGGCGCTTGTTTGTTTGTCCACATCCTGCGGCGAAACTTGTCACAGACTAATTTCGTGTCTCAGCTCATAAATTGATATTAATGAGCCGACGCCCCATCCACGAATCATTTTTCGCGTTTGCCCAACGAATATTTAACTTTCGGTTGAGCTCAATGTGTTCGACTGACTGTGTTGCTCGGTTTGGTTCGTTAGACTCCCTGACAGTTACAAAGTGGCAGTCAAGTAGATGCTTAATTCGAGCAGGACACCAATGTCCTGCGGCTCCTCCGACATGAGTTGGCATTCAAATGAACATGTGTGCAGAAGTATCCATCCCATCCCGTTCTACTCTGCTCCCCAGAGAGAGAAACCGACACATTTCGTGTAGAGCCAAATCGAATGAATCATTTGTGTTTGCCACGGGGAAACTACTCATTCGAAACTTTACGAAGCGAGTGTGTAAACTCATTAGGAGCATTTTGGTTAGAATACACCTGAAAAGGGGAGAACAGATTGTTAAATATGTAAAAGGTTTATGAATTGTATTCAAATTGAAATGATTTCAATAAAATTTAGTTCAAATAGGTGTAGTCATTTAATGCACAGCATTCAGGTGTATTGGCATAGATTGAAATTGTTTTTCTTTTCCATACAGCCTGTTATTAAATCTATTTTCATTCTCATTTAGTAAAATTTTCCTGGCGCTTTCCAGATATTTATTCTGCTTGATTCTCAACCTCTGATTCTATATTCTTCTCCATTTTATCATCTCCTGAGCTGTCTTCTTCAGAAGAAATAAATTCCTTTGACTTGTATTTCTGAACACAATCATTTTCGGGAGCTTTAACGTCTTTGGCCTTCCTAGTTTTTTCTAATTTATTTTGTTTTTTGCGAGACTTCTTGGCGGGTTTTTCACCGGATGAATCATCTGATTTTCCATCTGGATTCGGTTCTTTCTGCCTTTTTTTGCCACCCTTCTTTGAATTCTTCGACTTTGGTTCGCTAGGTTTGTCCTCTAAACCAGCGGCCATTATTTTCTTCGATCTCTCCAGGACTTTTTGTCGTTCTGATATCTTTTTCTCTAAAAGGAGACGTTCCTCTTCCTGCTTTCGAAGACTCTGCTCCTTTTGTTGCTCCTGAAGTGCCCTTAATCGCTCTTCCTGCAATCGAATGCGGTCATCTGCAGAAAGTTCCAAAAGACGAACGCGCTGGAGGGCTTCAGGTAATTTGTTCAATAGCTTCTGGCATACCTTTGCCCCTTTAGCACAAGCTCTTACCAAGATTTCGCTCTGATTGAGGTATAAATGGTCAAAATAACTGGAAAAGATACACATTTGCTTGAAGATACATGGAAATGATTTCAAAGACTCACTTTAAGGCCACTTTCAGCTCGAGTTCCGCACGTTTAAGCTCTTCGAATCGGGGTTGTGAATTACCAAAGATCTGTTTCGAATTCTCCTTGATGGTCAGGGCCAAATTAAAAAGGAGCGAGGGATCCTGTGGTGCTAAGTGTCTTGCCTTTATTAGCCACATTTTAGCCTCCCCAGCATTTTCCTCGCCATATAGAGATCTGGCCAGATAATGAATTACCTCAACCCTCTTTTCTGGAAGACACTCTTCCAAACATTGCTTGTAAGTCTGACTGGCTTGTTTGAATTGGCCCAATTTTAGGGCAATGTGAGCTGAATTTAGAAGGGCGGAGAAACACTTACCAGCCCCCAAAATTTGCTTGAAAATAACTTCACCCTCGGAGAGTTTTTTGCAAAAACTTAGAATGGCCCCAATTCCATTGGCTGCCCACAAGTTACGTGGATTGCATTCAAGAACCTGGAAATTCAAAGTTCATCATTAATTACTTTTAAAAAGTAATTCGACTCAGTTAAACTTGCTTTTGCGTAACATTTTAATGCTCTAAGAAGCAGTTGCTTATTCGAGAAGGAGTTTTTCCTACCCTTGGAGTTCTGAACTTTCTTCAGACAGAAATTTCCCATGGCCAGCATGGTGTAGGTATCGTTTTGTTCGGAGGAATTGCGCAGGATTAGATTATAATAGGAAACTGCCTTCTTACTGCAGTTCATCTTCATAAAGCAGTCTGCCATGTAAGTCCTACAAAATTTGGTTTGCAGAGGTATATTTAGGATAATAGCAAACTCAAAAAGATTTATAACAATTTAAGATAGAAAACCATTTCAATATAATAAATTTTTTAAACTTACCAAAAATATTTTCAAGACTCACCTGGCCAAAAAGTCATCGCTGTCCTTAGCCAAGACACACTTAAAAAATTCAATAGCTCTGATGAGTTTATTTCGCTGCATTGCCAAGATTCCCAGTCTCAGAAAGCAGTCATTGTGCTGAGGGTATTTAAGGGTAATGTCATTGTACATTTTCGCAGCCAAGAATATATTGTTAAGATCCTCCAATATCCGACCGCGATTGAAGTGCATGGTCAGCAAATTTGTGACATTGTGGTCGCCATTCTCTAGTTTGCATTTTTCGATAGCATCGTCGAGGGTTTTGAGTGCTTCCTCTGGCTTTTTGGCCAGCCATTGAGTGGCAGCCAGGTTATTGAGCCATTCGATCGGGATCTGTAGACCCTGATCAGCGTAGATTCTCATTGCCTCGTGGTAGGCAAAAATGGCCGGTATAAAATTCTCTTTCTGCTCATAGGCAAATGCCAGACTCAACCAACTATCATAATCCTGGCGACCGAAAGGGATTTTCACCACTTTCAGCAACATTTCAATGGCCTTATCAACTTGTCCTGGTGATCTTTCGCTTAGATACAATTTGGCCAGCAACCTCAATGCATTTGGCTCATCTGGCATGAACTTTAGAAATGTTTCCAAACAGATCTTAGCCTTGTCTGATTCCCCGCATCTCAAATGCATTTGTGCCAATCCCATTTGGGGAAGAACATACCCTTTTGGTGCCAATTTCACGGATAGCTGGTAAAATTTCTTGGCCGGGCTGAATTGTCCTGTTGCATGAAAACTCCTTGCAATCTGAAAGCAATTCTGAGCTTGCAACTCGGGTATATCTGTGTGCTTAAAGCCATTTGCAGCTAAGGTCAAGACCATCTTGTGATTCCTCACAAAATAAAAATGAGCTGCCAGAATAGATAAAACAACTGGATTGTGATTATTAAGTTCGAAAGCAGCACATATCAGATTCATGCCCTCCTGAGTTGATTGCTTCTCCCGTTGATTGAGTTTCAGCATGGCCAATCCAAGAAGAGCATTTACACATTTTCCATTTTGTGCGAGAGCCATTTCAAAGAAACGACGAGCACTATCTAGTTCACCCAATTTCAGAAAACAGTGAGCTATTCCCACGCGGACATCGGCGGGTCCTCGGGGATCGATCATCAGAACACTCTTGAAAAATCCTAAGGATCCTATGTAATCCTGGCGATTGAAGGCCAAACAACCGCGTCCAATCAGGGAGGGAATGTTTTTGGAATCTTTACTTAAAACGCTTATGAACTGCAAATCTGCATCTTGAGCCCTGGCCAAGCTTAACATTAAGGCAAAACCCTTTATAATTTTAGCGTGAGGATATCCAGGTTGCTCTAATTCATCCATCTCCTGAAGAAGATTCCTAATCTTGGCCTGTAGAGCCATGCGACGATTTCCTATCGCCTTGTAGGCCAACCTGATGAAGTGGCTTGTTAGGAGTGTATAAGCCCTGGCCAAATCTTTGTCATAGCCAGCATAAAGTTTCCTGCACCTAACTATTCCTGCCTGCAGGAACATTCTAAAATCCTCCCATTCGTTTTTGTAGTACCATGAAAGCTTAGGTAGAGATAGAAAATAGAAATAGAAAACAATCTTTGTAAATGGAATTCCAACTCATGGACTTACCGCTTTCCGAATGCAGGTGCGCAGTAACATTCCTTCGATGAAAACTCCGGTCATGTTTTCATAAGAATTCATGACTATTGTTTTATTATCCGCTTGATTTTTTATTTTTCGTAACCACCGTGAAGTATCACAATGAATAATGCAAGTTCCTTTCTTTTCTGTCAACGTCAACTTTGCAGCGCTGAAAAGGTTGCTTGGATGCAAAGCTCTTTACTTTCAGGATACTTTTTAATTTATTGAAATTACTTCCACACATTTCAAAGAAATAAGCAAAAGTGTTCATCATATTATTAATAAAGCTTTGATCGCCTTTCTTAAGTTTGTTTTACTTGTTTACGGTTTACACTTTTTTGAAAGGATGTGCAATTTATTTGAACTTTAAGAAATACTTTGCAGAATAGGTAAAGGTATATAAAAATACAACATTTATTTTTATATTACTTGTAAAATCATTTTTTGTTTATTCTCTATTTCGCCCTTTTTTGAGGGGTGTAAGAAATAAAAAAAAAAAATTCACTTAAGAACCATATTCTATTGCATCATCAATCACCACTTTTATTGATTATCGACAGCCTGTTTAATGTTAGTGTCGGGTTTTCAATTGAAAATCACCTCTATGACGTAAATTACAGTGATTGCTATCCACTTACGCTTTCAATTTGAGCGTAATTACTCAATGATTCTGCTTTGGCTCGATTTTCGCTTTGCGCGATTATCGAAGCTTTTTACTCGCATTTTTTGCTTGTCACCAAACTTGACCCAAAAGGTGCAGACAAACAATCAAGCTCCTATTACTGTCATTCTGTCAGTTTGCCAGTTGGAAGGTAGCAACCACCTTCCCCTTTGGCCAATTTTCGGTTTGTTGACTGAGTGTAAAAATAAACAAACATTCTGTTGAACAATAGTAATCCATTCGATATGGTTTGCCCGGATTAGCTACCAATTCCACATCCGCATATTGTGGGTAACTTGTTCTTTTCATCTGGGCTTCTTGGGGTATAAATACTTGGCTTCGAATGGGGAACAGCATCAGTCAACGCACTTCCAAACTTTGAGAACGTTCGTCGTACACAAACCCAAAAACCACAATCAACATGAAAGTAAGAAACATTTGAATAAAATATTTTTAAGAACTAAAGGATTCTTAAAAGAGAATTCCAGATAAATTGCAAGAATTTGTGAAATAGTAAATTTATAAGCATAACAACTTTGATTGTAATAAAAAAAAAAAATCATGAAACCCGAAGAATATTCTGTGTTAAGTTATTTTTTCTTGCAAATTTAATTTTAATTTTGTAATAACAACTTCGAAACTAGAATATAATATTATATTAATTTCTTAAGTATTTTTTCTACCAAATCCTTCTTAACCCTTATTTCTTCCCCTGTAGTTCCTCATCTGCTTGGCTCTCTTCATCGCCGCTGCCCAGGCTCATGTTGTGGCCCCCGCCGTGGCCACCTATGCCGCTGCTCCTGCCCTGACTTACGCCGCAGCCGCTCCTGTGGCCACCTACTCCGCCGCCATCCCCCGCGCCTACTCCGCCTACGCCGCTCCCTCCGTCTACGCCGCTCCTTCCGTTTACTCCGCCCCCTCGGTCTACTCCGCCTCCTATGTGGCCTCGCCCTCCGTCTACTCCGCCTACGCCGCCCCCGCCGTCGTCTCCACTCTGCTCAAGAAGTAAGGTACCCCGGATCGATCGAATATATGCCGCTTATTTTGTCAATGATTTTCCAAGAAATAAAGATGTGAATGAATGAGAAGAACTTTGCAATGCAATTAACGTGATTGAAAAATTATCTAAAACTTTTTTAAAATGGTCAAGTTATTAGTTTTTAATTATTAAAGTTAACACTATTAAAAACCCATTTGCGAAAATTAAAGCAACTCAAACAACAATCTAAAAAATTTATCTCCTGACCGTTATTTAGTTTTTGGATAAAAAAAAAACAATTAAATTTTGTTGTTAAGTTAAAACGTGTTTAAAAAATCAATACTTATGGGAAAAAAATGTGATCTATTATTTATTAGTTGTGGTTATTAAAAAATCTAGACCGCATTTTCACCTATAACAAAAAAAATATTAAATAGGTTTTTTACTCAAGTTTATTATTAACAATTATATTGCGTTTTTTTATATCGCAAGCTAGCGTATTCTACAAGTTTTATTTTTCTCCTAACTAAGCCAATGAAGATAGCAGGACCTTTTAAGCTCGTCCTTCTGCTCAACAGACTCACACCTGAGAGCTCCCAAAAGTGTTTAAGGTTAATTCGTTGGCATACATATTTTATTTAAACTTGGTTGCTGGCCCAGTTTGGACCTGGCTGGTTCATGTGGTTCATGTTATGGCATCCGGCCGCCGTTAATGTTATGCAAATGAATTACGACTCCACTCGGCTAGGACTTTGTCATGTTCAGGCACGTGGCTAAAACATACACACACTCCCAGCCAGGAACATATAATCCCCATAAGCATGGACCACAAGCAAGTCTTTGAGCCTGAACTCCTGGAGTTGAGTACTCGTGTTGGCCGCCAAGTATTGATTGTTACGTAATGCACTTAAACCTGCGAAATCCTTTTTTACGTGGAGCGAAAGTGCTCCCCTTTTCGATACACTTCCACTTCCGTCAGACGATTATGCAGAACAACAAAAGTTTCCTCCGCTACATTTCCGGGGAAAAAGTTTAGCCTAAATCACTTAGACCTCAGTAGGAAAACAAGTGTTGGCACGTCGAAAAATCAGAAGCCCATGTGGGTGAGAAAACTTTCGAAAGTTTTTGGCAGCGAGCAACAAGCAGTAGTCAAAAGTTGCAAAACCTAGATATGTACTATTTTATCTGCAAACTGGGAAACGAGTTCTTTGACTCCCGGCTGAAAGTCTTAAATAATTAATCAACAATTTACTACAGTTTGTCCTGGTAAATATTTAATTACCCATTTGGCAATGACATTTTGAAAAATACACAAATACAGATCCAGCTCTTCAATTCAATCTCTAAGCCGTTGACTTGACAAATAAATTATTTAAAAGACAACAGACAAATTAGAGATTTGTTTTGGGTGTTGAGTGGCAATAGAAGAAAATTTTGCATAAATTATGGATGACAAGTATTGTTGGCAATTAAGTGACCAGGGCAAACGAGCTAAGAGAGCGATTATTTGTGTTACTGTTATGGAAAACAAACAAACAAATTGGCTGGAATCATTCGGACACAAAAGAGGATAAATTTAATCTTGGTTTCTTTGTGCATCGCCACTTTAGACGTCAGCCCCTTCTGTATTTCTTCATTTTTTTTCTATTTTTTTATTTGTGAAAAGGACGTGACAATCCTGACAAAAGTCGCCATTGTCAATGGCATTTTCTGCAAGACAAAAGGGGAAACCAAAAGCGTTCGCTCCACCCCACAGAGTCGCCCATTTCCCAGCACTTGAGACGCAGCCAAATGCCCCAGGACGTGTTTGATATGCACTCCATCCTGGCATGAGCTTAATTACAAGGAAGGACAACAGTACAACAATATTGTGCGCACACAAAATATATAACAAACAACTCCCCCGCAGATGCAGAAAAGGGGAAATGAATATCGGATTATATCTACTTGCTAAAAGCAGCTTTTCCCTTATTGTTCGATTCGATTTGAGTTGACGCATCCTCGAGTATTTCGATAAAAATGAGGGAGCAACCGGAGAACGAGTATTTCTATTCAATATTTCTTGGTTCCTTTTTGTAAGGAATCCATGACAGCGGTTTGGTTGCTTGTCGTTTCATAATTTCTGAAGCGGATGAGGATACCTTCCTGAGTAACACAATCAAATGTCAGGTTTATCATACATTATATTATAAATATATTTCATATAACTATTATGCTGGATATTATTCAAATAAAAATATTAACAGCATTCATAAAAGTGAGTCTAAAGGAACGTAAACGATTAAAAACCAACGTAAAATTTTGGCTAAAAAACACTTAAAAGCTAAACATTTCTCATTCGTATATGCACAATTAAAAACTATCCAAAAAATCTTCCTTTTCATTTTACTTAGAAATCTTAAACTGCACACTTTGGTTGAGTTCTAAAGACCTGAAATATGCAATGCATAATAAATGGCTGTGACTCGGAGTTCTTCTGCTCAAATGGACCTGAATAACTATTTCATGGTAAAATCCATAAAATGAAAACTTTTGCTTTCTCGCCCGGCTTTGTGCTTAAATTAATAAAACATTTAGCCAGTTTGAGTACACGTACACTTTCCTGTGCAAACAAAATAAAATTAACTAAAAATGTTGAGAGTGGCTGACGGCAGAAGCAGCAGAAACATTAAGTAAACAGCCCAGAAGTATGCTTCAACTTTGGGCATTACATAAATTTCGCACACACACACAAAACACTACAAGTAAAGGCAACAAAAGCACATTAAAGCTCAGATAGCCGGGGCAAATGGGGAGGAGGGGCCGGAAAAGAAGCTAGCAAACAACCATAACATTTATCACGAACATTTTACTTGGTTGAAAAAGGGGGAAATGCTGGAAAACCGGGGAAAATCGAGCCAAAAACGGAGATTCTGGTGGGCGGTTTGTTAAATCAATTTGATAAACTGTCAATAATGAGAAATAATTTAATGCTCAGCCTCCAAGTCAACCGGAAAGGGGAAAAGCTGGGAAACAGATTTCCTTCGACTCATCGTCATAAGCAATTATGATGAACTTGAGATGGATTTTCCCACTTTGCGCCCCCGATTTTCCCCCATTTTCCGTATCATCCTGCTCGCAATGTTTGCTATTAGCACTTGCTGAAGTTAAGACAAATTTTTGGTTACTTGGACAAGCGAAAGCCGAGATTTATCAAAGATATCACCGAGATGGACCAGTCAACAATAACGCAAAGTGTCAACAGAAACGGCAAAGGGAAGACAACAAAACCGGAAGAGGAGGGAAAACTGCGGGGGAAGGAGAAAAACCAGCAGAAGAAAGCAAAAGCAAAGCAGGCAGATAACAATGGCCAAATTGGCAGCAAAAACACTGGAAACAAATGTGCATAAGAAGGGGGAAATCTTCATTTATATAAAACTAATATTGTGGCATGACTGTATTGTGTGGGCTGTTTATAAACATGTTACAAAAAAGCAAGGGTTAGATTGGCAAAATAATTGTATTGCTAACATATTCAGGCGATAACAACAAATAAACAAGAAGTGTAATAGAAATAGGATTTCTAAAAGATTGTTTATAAAAATGATAGGGTTAAATAGTGTTTTCTTTAGAAAATATATAAAATATTATAAGTATGTAAACAACATCATAAAATGTACTAAAATCATTTTAGGAAAAAATTTTAGAAGCTTCAGAAGTATTTAAACTTATAACTTTGCACCTAATTAGGTGTAAAATAACCTTAAAGAGGAGATATTTTTTAACTGCATTCCGATTGTAATTCTTATTCAAATTTTTATTGTAACGCTGTTTTTCTCAGTGATCATTGTCAGAGACTTTCCGAGATTTGTGGAGACTGCAGATTGGACTGGGGGGTAGGTAACATAGCAGGGGGAGGTGGGGGGAAGCGGAATGGGGTGGCGACACTGACGATGTCTGTGCGTGCGTGGCCCGAATCCTTTTGTGCGGGCTGTTGGAAACGACCTTCATAAAACAAACACGCCGATAATGAGTGAACAGTCGTAGGTTTCCCCGAAAGCAGAGGGTCCGGAAAAGCCAAAGGAGGGGGCGCCACATTTGGTGCCAGGCCACCAATTGGAGCTAACATTTCGACTGTGACTACGGCTCTCAATTCAACGGATTCCCCGGTTTCCTTTGTGAGTGCAACTAACTGGGCGATAATCGGCATTTGATTTGGTGCCGGCAAAAACTTTTCTCAAGAGTTTACCTCTTTTCCCTTTCCCCGCTTTCCCCATTTCCCTTTTCCCCCACCGTTTGCCGCATTTCCCCACTGCGACAGCTGATTGTGAAGTCAACTCCTGTTTGGCTTTGGCCTGAGTTATGTGATAAAGGCTTTGTCGAGGCCTTCGGCAAATCGATTTCGGTCTGACGAAATTTTAAAGGTTCAGAGTTCAGAGTTTAGCAGGAGGCAGATTTCGTTGGGGAACGGTAATGATGTGTGGCACCGTAAATGGGTTACGGATAATTGTTGCGGCTTTTGTTTTCGATTTGTTGCCAGAAAATTGGAAGAAAAGTTTAACCTTTTAAGCTGGCAAATTAAGACTTAAATGATGGTATTTTGTTTTTAAATTGGGTTTTTGTGATAATGGATTGTTATGGCATTTATCGAATAGAAAATGAAAGTTTTGCTTTAAAATTTTGTTGTTCAAGCTTTTACTCAAAAGAGAACGAAATATATTAAATAAAATCATGAAGAACTGTAGCCTACTAAAAAATATTCTTTGCACGCCTGCATATGAATGAAAAGAGATTAAGTAAACTTCAAAGGTATCTTTTCACCTCTAACCTTTCGCCGCTTTTTTCTTCAGCTTTAATCTAATCATTTTTCCCATTTTTTGAGATTCCTTTCATATCTTCCCGTTGTTAAACTCTTTTTCTCTTTGCCCCGGCAACATTAAGCCAGTTAAGAAGCGGAAGTCATGTTAGCTCCGGTCTGCCACGCCCCCTGCCAGAAGCACCTTCCGCTACGCCCACGCCGCCTTTTCTTTCTGCCCACCTGGTAAATTTGCATAAAAGATGCTTTTCACTTTTCCAGGCAAAGAAATGAGAACTCAGGCTGCAAATATCTCAGGACGGCTGCCTCCGCTTTTGTTGGGTTGCCTGGCAGCCGAGGGAAATAAAATATTTTTTGGCAAAGGAAAACGGCAGCAGAAAATGTAAACTAAACGGCGAGGAGAGCGCAAAGGGAGACCCGCGAAAAAGGGAAATAGCAACACATGGAATTTTCCGTTTTTGTAGGGTTTCAGTTTTTTTTTTTTTTTTCTGTTGTCGTATGGAATTAACTTAGCGGAAACGGAAATGGAAAATGGAAATGAAAGCTGCTGCTGCTGCTGCTGTTGCACAGGGGCATATGGCCAGTGTCAAGGCCCAAGGATGATCGCCGACAGCTGTTGGACCTCGTCCTTGTTCTCCTCCTTTGTTACTCGCTTTCCCTGCATGAGTGTTTTCCCTGCAAATCAACCAGTGATAATGGTATGCTCTCCAGCGATTCGAATTCTTCTCGGTGTCTTCGCGGTCTCAAAACTTGCCAGTAATTGCAGCAATATATTAGCAGAGCTGGTTGTAAATATATATATTTTATATTTCACCCCGTTTTATATTTAATATCTCACTCAAGCAGCTGAGCATGAGCCATGTCAGTGTGGCTATCACCATCATCAGATTGTTATGCGCTTGTTCTTCCAGGGACACTAAACAAGAATCACTTATCACTTATATAGCCGGAGCTCTTGAGTTAATGTCCGTACCTCCAGGAGCTGTAAAGTTCTCACTGCTGGCCATTGTCCATAAAAACTTTACTGTTTCACTGAATAGTTCGTCTAGTACTGGCACTCGTTCACTTTATTTTACAATGCGACTGGGCATTTAAAAACAGCTGTTTTCCCTATCTATGAGTAAGCTGTAATGGGTTTTTTTTTTATCGCAAAGCGAATTGGTCATAGAAAGTCATTTAGCGATATGGAAATTATAGAAAGCAAATATTACTGATAAGAATTTCTGATATAAAAAGCTTAGAATAATATGATAAACCATTTAAAAACGTCAGTTTATTTATATCCACTCCTCTGTTTCTCAAACAATGTCTCCATTTCAATTTTAATTGCACGTATCGATTTAATTTCATTGAGACATCTATTTATATTCGCTCTTACCTCATTCACCCGCCCAAACTCGTAATTCCCGCCCTCGCCTTCAGCAATTGTAACATTTATTGAAGGCGTTGCTGTTTATCATTTGCCGCATTGCATGACTTTAGCTAGTATATCAATATCAGGGAAACCACTCTTTCCCCCAACTTCTCTATTTAGGCCCTTTCCGTAAAACTTTCGCTGGCATTGACACGCCGAAATAAAGGCAACCGGCAGAACCGCCAATAAAAACCCAACTTGCATTTATGGCCAAAACAAACAAATATTATTGACAAAATTATTGCCGGCGCCCAAAACAAAATACAAAGGATATAAAATGTTTGTTTTTGTTGCACACTTCATGACATTTTTTAGAGGGTTCAGGGGCGAAGGGCTGTAGGGAAATCAAGTGCAATCCATGCCTTGAATTCCCACGCAAACGGTTACAAGAAATATTTGCCATATTGGCGTATGGAATCCGCATTTTGCTGCATTATTTGGTCTTCCGCCTTTGGCATGTCAGCAATATCCGGCGAATGCTATTTTAGCTTTCCTATTGAGGTGAACAGGTGAAAAGCAAATGTAGAAGTGGGAAATTTTTAAGAATAAACTTAAGTTACAGTCCGATTGCAGAGCTTGTCATTAGACAAACAAAAAAGTGAGCAGAAATGGTAAGAGTTATAAAATTAAAGTGTAAAATTGAAAAGCAGTTTCTTTTTAAATGTTTTAATTTAATAATGTAAATTCAATATAAAACGAAGATTTTCTACAAATTTTTATATGTTTATTCAGAAATCAACGTAAGAGCAATAGAAGGAACAGGACAACATATTCTTGAGCATTAGACACACTTTGCGTCACTAAGGATGTCAAGAATATTAAGAGTATGATGTCAAAGCATCATTTCACTTATTATTAGCAATTTCGTAATTGTAATTCAGGAATCTTCTCCCTTGGGAGTCCGTCCTCTTCACTTTGCCAACGAGCTCTCGGCAAAATAAAGCGAAGCATTTCACGTTGCAAGAGCCAAGTCAAAGGAGAGCAGAAGTGGGTTTCCATATAGAGAAAGCCACATAAATGTTTCCCTTTCTCCAGTTCCCTCGCATTTTCCCCCGCCTCCGGTTGCTCTTCCCTTTTCAATGGATGATGAATGCTTGATATCTCTCAGTCTCCGTTCTTACATTTTCTTTGAGGGTGTGGGAATCGTAATGAAATTAAATATTTAAGCTGGCACTGCCTGAATGGAAGGGCGGAAATGAGCGGAAAAAGCGGAAAAGTACTGCAGAAAAGGACACAAAGCACGGCCATAACTTTGTGCCTTATGTTTCGCAACACGCCGTGGTTTTGGCCCCCCTTTGAATTGCGTGGCTTAGGATTAGGGTTTAGTATTTAGGATTTAGGATTAGGGATGCGCAACACTTTAGTCATTGCAAGTGTGACTGCAACATTTTGCAGCTGCCACCGGCGGATTAAGCCAACTACTGCGGCATTACAAAACGCTGCCAACGTCATCATAATCGACTTTTCGCCAGTCTCAACCGTTTTTCTCCCCGTTTTGAAGTCCTCGGAACGTGCTGACACCTCGGAAAAGTTGCCAACTTTCCACTGTCGATTATTTGCTGTCAAATCAGAATTTATTTTGGCAATGCATTCGATTTGGCAATTTTCAACAGACCATTGCAAGGTGTTCTGGTCTGCAAACACGTCCGAAAATGGAGTCCAATGGGAGAAAAGTTTCTTCTTTCGGAAGTTAAAAGTGTTTTATTGGAGCTACATAACTTTTGGAATGCGAAGTGAAACAGGTTATTGAGGAAGTTTACCATACATATTTTAAAAAAGAAATTTACTCTGTTCCTATTTAAAATTGAACCCTTATTTGAGAAATTTTTATAAAGAAATTAGGCCATCTACTTAAAGTCTTTACACAAAAAGGCCAAGAAACTCTTAACTTAACCCAGATTATTCCACAAAGAAAACAACGCAATACACAGGAATATGTAAAGGAAAAACCATAATAAAATGCTAATCCAGTGAACCTTAAATTCTGTAAAAGTCCGCGAAAAATTACATAACGCCCCCAAACTACATAAATAGCGAACGCATTCGAGCGGCAATGCAACAATTTTTAATTACCATTTAGGCGCTTCAGCGAGCATTACAGAAAGGCGAAAAAAATAAAGATAGATAGGGGGAATTGCTGGCAGCATTTCGGTCTCGACTTTTTCACAATTTTTTCCCTTTTGCCAAGCGTTTAAAAAAATTAAAAGAAGGAAATCGAAAAAAAGGAAAATTCAGCGGAAAACGACGAAGAAGACAAAACAAACGCCAGGGAAATTAAGTCAATGTCCTGCGGGGTCAGTTGCGTTTTAAATAAATGTAATTAACCTTCAGGATCGCAGGCATTGAGTTGGGTCTCTTAACCAAAACAGGATAGACAGCTTGAGAAAAAGTCCAACAGATGCGAAAAGCCAGATTATTTTGGTGTAAATGATGGGTTAACATATCCACACCATATTTCTGAATTCCTGTAAAAGGGAAAGATTTACTTGCTTCTCGGAGGCATTCATCACTTTAAATAGACCACGAACCACATCATTAGGGCAGTCGCCTTGCAAATTAATTACAATCGAAGCGAAAGGTGGAAAATTCGGGGCGGCATAGTTGGATGGTTGGGAAAAACACACACACACACACACACCGAGTATCAATGGAGAGGAAAACTGAGAGCCAAGAAGCCCCCTGAATTCCGCAGGCAAAGTTCCTTGTGATTTTGGCCAACAATAGAGCCTGGCTGTAATTACCTTTTCGCACACAAACACTAGCACACGGATAAAGACGGTCACACACACATAATTAACTCGATAATGAGGACAAAACCCATAGCCACACGTTCAGTCAAAGCCAGAAAACCCAATCCCACCCAAGTTGTCGCAAATGTATGTAATGGCGTGTTTCAGTTGTTGTTCCTGCGGTTTGGCCAGGGGGCACTGGTGGGTTAAGGGGGCACCAGGAGCGGGGGGGGAGGAGGGGGTATAGAAGTTAAGAAGCGGGAGGGGGAGGGGGCATTCCCGTTCCTATTAGGTTTTGTTAGCCACGATAATGACTTCCGCTTCGACAGAGCCGAGGATGACAGAACCGGAATTTGTAATTGCTCCTAAGCGTTTGCCATTCTCGATCTCAATTTCCAGCGTTTGCCTTTGATTTTGCTGCCCCAAAGGAAAAACTTCCCCCTCTTCTTCTTCAAGGACCTCCCCATGGCTAGCTTCCTTTTTTCGTCACTTACCACACATATCCAGGAATGTGACTGTGTGTTTTTGGCTCAAAATTTATACGCATTTGACCCGAATGCCGTTGTGCAGGGGGGGGAAAAAAGGGAAAAAAGGTGTGAAAAACTATGCCGGAAAATTGCAGGACAGAAGATTGGTTAGATGGGGACACTACAAAGTGTTTGCTATGCTAATTCCAGAAGGGGGAGAATTTTATTTAGTAGTTGCTGCAATTGTCGGAACCAGTTGTAATTTGCAAATTACATTTGGGATTACTATATATTTGTAATCTAGTTACATTAAAAATTGGGTATTTTAAAAATAAGCAAGACTCGAGTTTGGATATGCAGTTTACAACTAAAATATTAAGATACATTAAAACTCTTTTATATCCCTTAAAGCTTAAAAGAGTTCAGTAAGAGTTGAAACTTTTCCCTAAACCCACCTAGTCTTTTCCCATTACAATTTCCTTTATTATTTTCCATTCAAAAACAGAAATAATAAGCAAAATCCCCAAGGAAAGCCAGGAATATTTCATGATTAGGGGCAATTGAATTACACATTACCATAGTCGAGTTAATTCCTCTGGAGATGGCCAAGATACAGAATGGCAAAACCCCTAACATTTATCGCAGTTTACATTCCAATTGCCATTTGCCAGCGGTGGCCAAAAAGAGGGCAGAAGGGTGAAGTTCAGACCCCATTTGATTGCGGTAAAATGCTAATTAACGGAGCAGTGCTCCAGTTTGGTGAAAAACTTTAACCCACTGACAAATGACTACCCGTCTGGGCTGTGGGTTAAGGCTTAAGGCTTAAGGGTTACAATAGACTGGGCAGACTGGGCGAACGCTTAAGCGCATTTCTTTAAAGTTTTGAGCCAAGTCTTTAACGTGGCCTAAATATTAATGGGCGCATTACGTATACGCCGCGAGTGGCCGCCATCTGAGCTGACCTGCCCGGGGAATTGTCGGTCTTAAATTCATATCAAAATATATATATTAAATATTCTCTTGCACTGGATTCGGCGCTGCTTTGCTTTAATATTTATAGCAAAGTCCCTGGAGGACGAAATGGCTTCTGTGCGCTCGCTCTCTCTATTTGTGAAATTTAAGCACGAAAAAGGTTCGCATATTAAATGCCACGGTTCTGAGCAGCGAGTTATCTGTCCGCCTGCCTCTGGGGGTTCTGGCTAAAGGGCTCTAAACTTGTTGGTTCCATTGGGGGATTCGGTTCGGTTTGGCTTGGTAATTCGTGGAGAGAGTTGGGCTGCGTGGCAGAAACCAAACCGAACTGAACTGGGGAGCGATTTCAATTGGCTGCGTATGAATTTAATAAAAGATTGCGGGGGCAGATTAGGTGTTTGCCCCTCTGATAAACTTGCCACTGAGCTCAGCAGTAATCTTCGCTCCAGACTCATTAGATATGGTTTTAATGCTTAGAGGTTCTAAGCCATTGCTTATCGTTTGTTTGTCAGGTTAATAAGCTAAAATTAGGATGTAAAACCGTTTTTTTTTTTAAGCTTGTTGCACAGAAATAAAACTGATATTACTATTAAGGATATTATTAGCATATTAAATTATATTTTTGAAGCATTAAACAAATATCATTTTGATATAATATAAAACATAATATGACTAGAATATTAAACTGGTAATACTAGTCAACAAATATGGAATTACTGCAATATCTGAACTATATTAAATATGCAAATATTTTTGATTTGATAGGCAAACTTTCTTGGATCAATAAGTTCTTTTGACTATCAACAGTCCTTGAAAATAACTTGTAATCCAGCAAACTATTCCATGCCACTTTCCCGTGTTTATTTTATCGTACGTTCAAATTGCCATTGCCAAAGTCCTTGGGTGCAAATTAATTACATCCTTTTCCAGTTCTCGCCATCTCTTTCTATCTGTGTCTGTGTGTCGGCACTCGATAAATGCATTGATCGCACTGACATCCATATAGCTCATCCTCCCCGTAAGCCCGCCTCTTTTGCATTTGGCTTGATTGCAATTACACTGCGATGGAGAAAGGGGTAGGTAAAAGGAAAAGGGGTTTTGCATATTTCATAGTAGCTACGCATAAGTGACACTTGTCAAAACACATTTTCCACACCTCCCCCCGCACCCGCTTTCCCCCAGCAACCAGCTTTTCCTTTTGGCCAGAGGCAAAAAAGCATATTTCAAGTGCGGCACTTCATGTGCGTCAAACAGAATGTCGGAGCGAGATGGCATGCACATGAGCGAGTGAAAGGGCGAAAGCAGCAAACACACACACACATCCACACAAGCATACACACACACGCACACACCATCAAAGCGATCCAAACAGTGAACACCGAACAGTGAACAGAACTGAAAAAGTGCTCAAGTCGAAAGCCCTCGAGTTGTTTTGCAACATTTGAACACGTCAAGTTTTTTAAGGTCAACATGTCGCTGGCAGGCAGGCCAGACATTAGACATCAGACATGGCTAACACGCCGCGGGGGTGGAAAATAGAAGGGGGAGGGGGAGGGGGAGGGGAAGGGGTGTGGACAGAGGAAAAGGGTTAGGGTTAAAGGTGGCGAACGGAAAATATTGGTTGGTCCAACGAGCGGGATGTCATTTGCATTCGCTGTGATTGTCAAAACACTGAAACGTATCCTGAAAATGCAGCTCAACAGCTTTTGGTTTTGTTAAAAATAAAATATACTTACATAGCTACCGAATTTTACTTTCAATGAAACTAAAATTAAAAAAAAAAATATGTGTAAGTCAAAGAACAAGGACCCCAAAAACCCCATTTGAGTTTCTCAAAGATGATAATATTTTCCAAACATTTAAGCCTATTATTTTCGTTTTATCTTTACCAATTTAAATATATTATTTTTCAATAGCGTTTAAGTTTAACCACTTATCTCATAACAACTGAATATCAAAAACCTATTCATTGTTAAATACCATCTTTTAGAAATTGCAATAGATCCCTAATCACTGGCACAGGAAGTCCAAATCCCACCTAAGAACTGTTTTCCTTCATTGATATCCCCAAAGTCCTCGCCCACTTGCAACGCCACTGGAGTTCGGCCAAAAGAAAACCCCAAGAAAACCCCTCCCCATTCGTCCCTTCAACCCGACGTTTATTGTTACTTAGCTTTGGGGGCAGATCCAAGGCTGGTCCTTAGCTCTTCGGATGCCTTGTTTACTCTGTAGATGTTCACGGCTTTCTGTGCGGAGACGTACGTGAAAACACATACGGGTGTGTAGTGTGTTGTGTGCGTTTCGGTCTTGTTGGAAAACACTTTTTCACAAAATTTTCTCAAAAAGAATGTTAGACAAACCGCTTTGTTGGCAACAATTTGGGTTAAAACTTAAGTGTTTTGCTTCGAGTTGAAACCAAGCCACCGACATTTCCCCCCGTTTGCCGATCCCCCGTTGCCATGGCCCCTTAAATTCTTTGGCATTGCAGTGCTTTTGGCCTGGCTTAAAATGAAACCCACAAGAAAAGGCGAGCTAGAACGGCAACTAGGAAAAACCAACAAAGTTGGGTGGAACGTGAAAATGTTTTTGTGCTTTTCCCTTTCATGCATTCCAAGCCAAGAAGCAGCACAATCAGAAAATGAGAGTGCCACAAGGAGGAGGTAAATTGTCCTTTTAACTTATTTCGCAGCTGCTGCCGTTCCATATAAATTTCGTTAAAATTCAGCACTGCACTTTCGCTTTTCCCCCAAAACCGCTTAAACAGACAATGAGCGGAAAGTATTTCGGGATGCTTTTGCTGAAGAGGCTTCCTCATTAGACCAACTGAAAGTAATTAACAGTCATTACGCAAATGAAAACTGCGAGAAATGCAATGTCGATTGCACATTTTGTAACTTTTTAAAAGCAAACAATTTGAACAAATACAAAAATATAACGAACTCTATTTATAAGTAAAATGTTTTTCCCTTTAAACAAAAATATATAAATTGAAACTGTCTTAAAACGAACTTTGAACTGTAAAATTAAACTCTTGCCAACGTGCGTTGCATTGGGCTAATTTGATTGAAAGTTTTTGGATCAAGTTTGTGTGGGGTAGTCTTACATATGCCGCAAATTTGAGGCCACATCAAAGGAAAAGTTGATGCAAATATATACCCCGGACTGAAACCAAAACCCAGACCAGACCAAACTCGAAGCCCAACCAATCCATTCAAATGTAAGCAAAGTGGAGAAGAGAGTCTGAAGTCGCAGATGAATTTGTTTGTTCACATTTTGGGGGCTGCATTATTGGATATCTCAGCTCGAACTTAACTAATTTTAAAGTTTTCCAAATGAGAGATCTCTGTGTGTGCGGCAAGGCAAGTTGTGCAAAAGTTTCCTCAGCTCGTGGAATTAGTTGCAATTTTCAGCATCTGGGGGAAATTTCGCATTCACTTCGGCGGAGACATCGGGAATATCACGGAGGGTACAGGAAATTGTCTACAGCTGCTTGTGGTTGAGCTTCATCATCGTCTTCATCATGTTTGTCGTCATCAGCGTTGACACTTTAAAGTTTTGCTGGAATTCACCCAGGCAAGTTCAAGACTCGCTAAACAATTTGCAAGCCATTGTAATGAAATTTCGTGTCATTTGTATTTGCTTAAAGTTTTAAGGCGTTACAGCTTAGCTACAGTTAACGATATCCTACATAGTTTGCTTTCGTGGTGGAATTATTGGGAATTCAAGAACTTGTTTAATTTATACTATTACACCTCTTCTCTTTTGCCTAAAGAAAGATTTAGAGAATGTGGTAAAATCTAACATCGCGTTCTGATCTGAATTGTATACTATATAATATAGTACGTTTCCCAAATGGTAAGTTCGTTCAATTCTTGGAAAAGTTGTTTTTGCTAAGTTTATTACCCTCAGGCATATACTCAACTGAGATATACATGTGAAGAATGTAGTACGCCAAAGTAACTTTTTTTTTTTAATATGACAATTCTGTTAATGCACTGCTAAATAAGTTTAAGATGGTTAATATTTTAAAAAAATTGCAATAAAAACCCATTTCAATTGTAATTTAATTCGGAAAAAAGGATTTACATTTTGTAAAAGAGCATCCCAAATTCTTTGATGTTCAACTCACTCGTAACTGCTACTTTTTGCTTTATTGGAGTCAAAAGTTTTTCAACCATTCTTTCTTTTCGCACTTCTTGTGGCAGCTTCATGCGGCTTCTTTTGGACCTGTTACACATGATGGCGGCAATATTGCCAGTTAACCAAGTTAACAAATCCACCCCAAAGGTTCGGTTTCTTTGTTCACTCCCAACTCGCTTTCATCGTGTTGTTGATTACACTTTGGACGGTCATAAATTTGTATCAGCGAACGGTGAAAACTCATACAGAAAGTTGGGAAGCTGTACAAAAGAAAAGTCCGAAAGACGGGGAGAAGTTTTTATTTTACCTCGGCGAGTTCAAGTGAAACTTGAGTGCAGTGTGGCGTGAGAAAAATACAACTAGATTTGTTCGTGTATTTTCATTAACTGCTTGTTTATCGAATCGAAATTTGAGCCGTTCTCAAATAAAAATGAACGGAGTGGTACAAAATAAATATAATTGGGGTAGTAGAAATTAATTTTTCTAGTTTTCCTGCTGTTCATCGTTTTCATTTGCATTCGAGTCTGCTTCTTTTGAAATCACGTCACTATTGAATCGTCGGGCGTTGAAATGAATTACCATATCCTTTGTATAATTCACTAAAGAAGCTAATTCCAGGAACATATCATTTGATTTTTGTAAGTACCCTTCGAATCCCCCTTCCTCATCTAAGTGATGGAAGTTTTGAATAAAATTCTCCAGATATTCTATCAAAAGTCCGTGCTGTTCGGCCACCAAAGAGAGTTCCACATTGTTCTTCAAAATGTTCGGATTGCTTTTGATAAGATTTAAATTTAGAGTGGAGTTCACTTGTCCAGCTAAGTTTAAAACGGAATGAAATCTATCCCTAAGATTGTTATTTTCCTGAATGTTTGCGTTTTCTTCTTCAGAGGATATGGTTATGTGCTGATATTGTTCGTCTCCATTATCCTGATACTCCTCCTCCTCATCTTCAATGTAAATTTCGGGTTCGGATTCGTCGTTGAGTTCGGGGTTTTTGATTCCTCGTCACGATTAATTTGTAGAGTATCGTCTTCTTTGGCCTCCAGTTCCTTCACTCTATCCGCATAACGTAGGGTATTTAGGGTGTGCTCCACGCAGCTCATGGATGGCGATATCATGGCAATCATGCAGGTCTTGTTCTTCTTGCCACCAACGAAAGAGTCCCTCAGAACTTGTGTTAGCTTGGATCCACGAAAAGGAAGATGACTCGACTGCCGACTAAGAGCTCGAATGCATTCCTTTAAGGCCAGCAGGGATTTATTAATCTCCGCTCCTTCGAGTCGAGTTTGCCGATCGGCAGATTGCGTATCCGCACCGCGTTCGTTTCCCGCCAGGTCCACAAAGGAGCACTTGCCAAAGGGACCCCAGGAATCCGGCAAATGGAGGGCCATTTGAAAGACAGCATGGGAACGCGATGACTTGGCATTCGCTGAGGTCTGACCGGAAGTACGCTCCTTGTTGCCCAACTCGATCAGTCTGAGAACATCCTCCACTTTGGTCACCGGCATCTCCGTCAAACCCACGACCACAACTTGCTGTCTTCCGTCTTCGAGGACCCGCAAAAGCGGTTTATTCGGCAGCAGAAGATCGTACACCTTGGTGCCGTAGATTTCGAAGAAGCTGCAAGTGATCTTGGCTCCCAGTTCACGGTATTCCGGCTGAGAAACCTCTTCGAAAACATCCCGAGCTGCCATGGCATAGATGCCAGTTCCGCAGTCCTGCACCTTTCCGCAGAATTCTCCGCCCATCGTGTGGGTTTTTCCACTGCCCGTTTGTCCATAAGCGAAGCAAGTGGCATTTCCTCCTTCGAACATGGTTTTGATCAAAGGACGAGCTGTGTGCTCGTAAACCAGCGCATTGGAGCACTCCTCATCGAAAGTGTAGTCGAAACGGAACTTGTGATGCTCCAGGAACTTGGTGAGATCCACTTTCAGACGCAACTCGTGAACGATAATGGTATCGGCATTTGGCACCGTGATGATGTCCAAGTTCTTCGTGTGTTCCTCCTTGCGACTCATGGGTCGCTTTCTCACGCAAACCGTGATTTGTTGGGTGAAAGCTCCATGGGGATCCAGGCTCCTTAGGGGGCGAAGTGCAGGGTTTCCCGGAACTGGCGCAGCATGAGCGCCACCTCCCAGTTGGGATTCCCCGGATCCTGGCGACGCAGTGCATCCTTCTCCTGCATCTGCTCCGCCTGGCGAGCCCTTCGCTTCTCCCGCTCCTCCTTCATGCGATTCACCTCTCTCACGACACTGGAGCAACGTGGATTGTTGTTACTTGCGTTTGGAGGTCCTTGGGATCTGCGTCTTTCGGCGGGACTTTCATTGGGGGCCTTGCAGAAGACCACTCGACTGGTGGCTGCTCCACCTTGGTCACGATTTCCCATATTAGAAGATTGCGTCTTCCTCGGTGGGATTTTACTGCGGAGTTCCCCAACTCTCACTGCATAGGGATTCGCGGTATAGGACTTCCGGAAGGAATCAGGAGGTCCTTCGGGTGGACTCACTTCCCTTGGTTTCGGAATCAAGGAGCCCGCTGCATTTGGCAATGGCGATGGCTTTTGGTTCTCAGCGAAAATGTGGCGGTTGATTCCAATTAGCATGCTCATTGGAACCTCCTTGCCCTTGACCACCGTGCCCTCGGTCCATTCGCCGGTCACCGAATCGAGTTCCGGATTCTTGGCCGTGCAAACCACCGGATGGACACGGCCGTCACTCCGTTGAAAAAACAACTGCTCACCGATCTTGATGCGATCCATTTTTCGATTCATGCAACTGCAGTCCGTCAGCTCCCAGCAAAGTGTATAAAATTTGTAAAAAATTTATATATTTTTGGATTTTTGTTTGAATATATATTTCTTAATTTCCGGTCCACAAGCAAGTGATGATATATTCTTTGGAGACGTTGTTCCTGTATTTTACTGTCGAGTGTCAAGTTTGATAATCTAATAACTCGCCCCGAATCTTAAATCTAACTTTAAACTACTAACCTACTTTGTTAAATCGGCTTCCTAAAATGCAGCAAGTCAAGCGGAGAGGAAGTTTTAATTTGCTTTACATTATTGAAGGATTTGATGTGGGCTGTTTGGTTTTCGTGTTCTTTCTTTTTGTCTGAATTATTTCTGGCTGTCAAACTTGGCTACTCAAGGTTAAAGGGGTTTTCTTAAATTGAAGCTAGGTGGGTTTTAGACCATTTCCTTCCCTAGCTCAGAGCAATTTTATGGTTAACATGCTTGGGGTGTCGGCTCGTAAATTCCTTGCTTGCCTGGTTTTGGGTTAGCAGCTTCTTTTGATATATGGCCCTCGCCCCGTTACGGGTTAGTACTTTTCAAATTAGATTTGGGCTCCCTGCAACCCACTCTTTGTGTGTGTGCAAGTGTGTGTGTATTGTGTGGTGTGTGTGTGTGTGTCATAAACCCGTCGTGAACCTTTCTGTATTTACACAAGCGTTCAAATTCCACAAATAAATAGCTGAGGCAGCGCTCTCTTTCCGTTTGGTTGTCTAGACTTCTGATTGGAGGACAATTAAAATACATCCACTCAAGGGGAATTCCTTGGAGGGATCAAACGACATGCTGTCCCCAGTCACTGAGGTGTAAAAACTAATTTACGGCAATGCCGGGTGAGTAACCCAAAAACCGCAAAACGAAACCTCAAGGTAAATGTTTTTTTTTTTTTTTTTTTTCCTGAGAGAATGAGGACTGCCGAATTTGTGTGACTGTCCCTATGCCATTCGACCTTTTCTGGTCTCGTTTCCCTATCAGTTACTGGGTCAGCATGGGGTATATAGACCATAAATCTCATGGCTGCTGCAATCAGGACCTGCAATCGCAATCTGCATCAGAAATCAGCGAGCTCTGCCAACTTGTCAGGGCCAAATAGATAGCGGCCAAACTGGAAATGGCGTCAAGGGCGCCATAAATGAGAATTTCCGTTTCATTTCCGTCCGTTTGTTTGCGATTGAGTGTGTGTGTGCTATAAGTGTGTGTGTGTGCGGTTGTGGCCATGCGGTTCATTTGTGGCTCATAATGAGCAGGCAAAGCATCGTGGCTCTGTATCGATTTTCATTTAAAGTGCCAGTCGGACCACCTAATGGCATTTGGTGTCCCGAATTTATGGCAACTTGACCTTGGCCATTTGTCAGCATTAGAACACAATTGTGGAGACGTTGCAGTCAAGGGCATCATAAATGGGAATCTGCCAATATGGAAAGTCCTGCGGTTGGGCCCACGTAAAACTTCAATCCTCCGGCACCCATACAATTCAATTAAATACAGCCTTAGAACATTTCCTTCAGTCTGGGGAATATTTATGGTAACTCGAGGTGGAGAAAGAGACACATAAATTTGTTTGCGATAAGCGGGAAACATGTTGATGCAGAGGCAAAATAAAATATGTCGCCTGAATGGAGACCCGGTCGCAAACCCCAAAGATTTATGCGGAAATAATCGCTGGCGGCCATAAATTATAGCCAGCAGAAATCTCCGACTTATCGATTTTACTTTGAAATGTCAGTCACAAACAACACTTAGTTCTGCTTTAATTTTATTAGATACACGGAACACCCAACAAACACAAACATTTAAATTTAGTTAACATTTTTGGATAGTACATATAGATAGGGAGGTTAGTTGATCACCATGTTTTCAGACTCTATTCCTATGATGCAACACACTCGAAGGGGCACTGTGCCGGCAAGTGAGGATCAGCAGTAAGCTATATGGTCCAGTTAATATCCTAAAATACTAAAGATCTTTTGCAGTAGCGAAGGATCGGAGTCCCAGTTTACGTCGTTAAAATCATCTCAACTAGGGCTGCAACATTTTTGCCGGTAAGAAAAGCGTTAAAAACTACGCTAAAATAACAAGGCTTATTTAATTAAAATGGTTTATTATATCCATATAATTCGACATAAAATCTTTTAGAAAATGTATGTTTTTTTATATTAATTCTCATAGATTAAAAGACCAAGGTATTATTTAAACAAAAATAACTTTTTATTAATGAGTTACAATAAATTTCAGAACTTCGATGCTTCTTCTGGACTATAAGCAATATAAGGCCGCTAGAGCTATCCAACGAAGGTGGCGGAGTTTCTGCATCCGTAGGATCTTAGATAAAAGATGGAAGGCGGCCATCACAATTCAGCGTTGGTGGCGTGGCTTTTCGGTACGAAACAATCATTTAAGTTTCGTAGAAAATAAGCTGCAGAAGCTCCTGGAGGATCACTTTAACAAGTCGGCCACCAAAATCCAGGCTTTATTCCGAGGTTGGAGAGTTCGGAAATATGTGCACGATCATAGCAAACTGATGAAGCTGCAAATGTGCGCCGCCGAGGATCTTCTCAATTGTGTGGCATTCAAGTTGCACCACTTGCTCCGAACCTATGCGATTCCTGGGGTCTACTCTCTGAGGAACTCTAAGTAAGTGAATATAACCTTATTTTATTTATATATTATATATATTTAATAAATTTATTTATTTTTATTTCATTTTAAGCTGCCTTTCGCGAGTTGAGAAACTACTAGCAAGTCTGCATTTCCGATTTCATAATGGAATAGAGAAGTCGCAAAATCTGGCTAACAAAAAAAGGGAAAGCGACAAATATGCTAGAATTCCGTTTGAAGGGGCGCGTTATTGGAGCGAATGTAAACCCAAAGCCGATGTTGCCTTGAAAATGTCCAAGGATATTGATAAACGCATGTACAGGATCATTGACATGTACGATAAATCACAAAGGGAAGCGCAAGCGGCGTTGGAGCAAAAAAATAAAAAATTTAGTAAGATCACTTTTAGAGCAAAACATTGTTTATCAATAGTTTCTAAAGTAATTTTTTTCAATATTTACAATAAATTTTTTTTATATCAGAAAGGAATAAAAAGCTTATGGAAAACATCAAGAAATCGGCGGAGAAAAACAAGCGCGACTTTTGTGGCGATGTTATTGCCAGCATGCGTCGATGGAAAGTCCTGGTGGACAACAATTTGAAAGTGGACAAAAACATATTTAGGAATCCGGCAAATCTGGAGAATTTTCTCAACGAAATAATGAACTACGTGAATGAGTTCAAGAACTGCACCTGCTATTGCCGTATTCCCGTATTTACTGAAATCTATTGCGCCTAAAAATGTAACGAAACATATTAATCAAAACAAAGAAAAACGTTTAATAAACAATATTCTATATTGAATTTTGTACAATTATTTATTATTTCGTATTTCTGATTGACAAATTGACTTCTTTCCTGAAACATTAATTACGGATAAATGGGAGAGTTGCTTTTCCTTTTCAGCCGAATATCGCCCTAAATATATCAACTGCAAAGAAAAGGATATTATTTCAGGAGCTGTTTCCACAAATGGTGCAATTTACTCACCAAAGACATTGCCAAAGAATCGAAATAAGACTGTGACAAACGAGGGCCTTTGGCGATCAATCCAATCATCAGTCATTTGATCTGTTTTCAAATCTATTATAACGAAAAATCTATACAAAGAACTTGTGGCTTTTCTTACCTAAATGCTCGCAATCTAATCGGTTATTCGGGTCGAAAGTGCCGTCTCCTCCACTTGGCATAGAATCATCGACTTCATTCATATCCGGATCCGCCATGTTCAACTCTAAATTTGTTTCTAATTAATATACTTTTACAATCCTACGATTGGTACCACTTTAAATTTCGAAATATGTATTCTTTTACAATTAAAGTAAGACACTTGTGTATTGAGTGGATCAGCATTTAATTTTGGAAATCGAATAAAGAAATTTCGAAATGTGGAACGCGGCTTGCTTAGTTCGGAAAAATTGTAAATTAATGTTAATACTAGTTAGATAATAATTTATAATTTATTTATGCAATCGTATAATATAAAATTATTTTGAAAATCGGTTTACCACAAATATGTTTAAACCTTTAAATGCTTTAGTAGAACCACGAAATATCAGGTATGCGCATTCAAAGATACAAAACAAGCGATTTACCCCTACAACTTTTACCTTCTGACACAGCTGCGAATTACGAGCCAAGTATACGATTTATGCCGTAAACTTTTCAAGGCACAGCCATTAGCCATCCGGAGAGAAAACATGCAAATACCGAATGAAAAAGCCGAATGTGAGAGGACGGATTTTCTCGGAACCTGTCCCTGAACGAGCATAAATTAAGAGGCCAGTTGCTGTTGCTTTTAATTAGACACTAAAACCCGGCCTCGGCTGACCAAAGACCAGCGTTTCTGCTTCTGGCCAGGACATCAAAACAGAGGCTGGCCCAGCAGGAGACTTTGGTAATTGTACGGCTGGCCCATCATCATCGCCATCTCCATTATAATCACCATCCTCAGATATGCAATTAGAGGACAAACGAAAAATGTGCCTCGGTCAGGAGCTGTCATCGTTGCTCTGGGACAAATACAAATATATTTTGCTAGACACCAAAACTCACGTATTTATATATATATATATATATACGAGTATATACTGAAATTAACCATATTCATCAAGCCGACAACTAAATGCAACATTTTTGGCCGCTAATGACGAGCCGTTGTCGTCGACTTGAATGGTAGCTTGTATTGCCCCAGGGCCAAGTTCTTTATCACTTGGTTAATTACCTATGGAGATTCCCAGCCCCGATCTTTTGTGGCCAGTACCCATCATTGTGTGAGGTCTTGGTTGAAGCCTATCTCTGGTAACGAATTTCGTTTATTTTTCGGTTGACATGGCAGGTTTGTTGACATGATTTAGATAGATTATAATAATGAAAATTAGTCTGGACCTGGAATTAAATAAAAAATTAATTTATTTTATTTCTTAAGCCAGTTCTTTGTTATTATGATTGTACTTATTACTCTAATTAAATCACATATCCTTTACACAATTCAAATATAACCTTAAAGCAAGGACAAGTAAAATAAAAATGAAAAAATTTTTAAAATCCTTTTAATTTGAGCTTATTAAAACTTTCCCAACAAAATTGGCAGGACTGACGAAACTTTTCCATTTGCTGTTGTATTTCTCTCTTGTTTTCCATCTGTGTGCGGCTTTTGGGGAAAATCTCAAGCTGCTTAACTAATATTAGGAGGGCAGAGAGGCGAAGGGGGTTAAGCCATCGAAATGATGCAACCGAACCGAAATGGATTTCTAAAAATAAAAGTTGCATTGCCAACAATTTCACTTTCGGTTCAGTTTTAATGCATTGTGTGTGGCCCTCCAGCCGCAAAAATTTCGGGTTTTTCCGCCTCTTAATTAAATGTGTTAAGAGCCAGCAGTTGTGCAACTTTAAGCTGGCCAAGATAGTTTTGACAGTTTTGTAAGTTGGATTTTTCCGCTAGGAAGGAATATAAATTTATTCCAGCCTTGGGTGAATTATAAAACGTTTAAGAGTATATAAGTACATTTAGTCGTGATGCATTTTTATATATTTTAAAAATGTTGTTATGAAATAAAGATCTTTGTTTGACTGCTTAGCTTGGCCTTTACACTTATTTAATGGCCCGCTCTCTAATTAGCTGACAGGCAAATCCAAAGGCGTTTACATGTGTCTGGGACCCTTTTCATGGGGTGAAATTGGAGGGTGGATGGGGGCCACTGTAACCGCAACACAAGGCGTTTCAAATGTTCCTTTCAAATTAATTAGAAGTTTGCGGTAAGCAAAGCAAAGCGACGCCAAGTTGCCGGCTTGCCCTTTCGGCGGTGGCAGTCATTCATGGACATCATCATCTTCATTGATGGCAACCGAGGAGGCCACAAAATGGTTTTTGGCCAACAATGAAATCTGAGTTCTAATTGCCAGCACACAAACATATAATTAACTAAATAACGAGATGGGGATTGGGTGGTATCTTAACCATTTGGCTGCTGTTAACGGCATCCGTAATTACCTTTGATATGCTCAGCCACACTTTCTGGAGTCGGGGTTTTTCAATTAATGTTGCCAAATGTCTTTTCAGGTTGCACACTGTCGTGTTCTGTTTCGCTTTGTGTAAAAGTTTTTTAATTTATTGGCCATAAATTTAACAACGTTTGCCCATCATTGGCACCTGCCCAAAACAGTTAAGGTAAATGAATAAATACACGAACAGAAAGTAAAACATATTTCTTTTGTTTCGGTTTGAGCTAAATCGCATATATCTTAATCACCTTGTCAAAAGCGAAAGAAAATGTTTGCCAGTACTTTTAATTAACAAATGTTTACATTTATGTGAAAACTATAAATGGTTAAATTGACAGAAGAAATCTTTTCTTTTTAAATAGAGGTGGAAACAAACGCAAATGTATGTTATGTTATAAAATGAAATATGTTCAAAGTAAGCAAACTAAATATGTAACTAAATAAATAAACAGCATCCCATTGACTTATTGAAAATATTTAACCCAAAAGGAAGACAAATAACTCGAAAACCCAACCAAACAGTGAGCAGAAAAGACAAAGAGCCACCGATTAACATTTATTGGTTCTGAACTTTAATTTGCCTTGTTGGCCGAGCTGCTTACCTCTCGCTGGCCTTCTGGCCATTTGACATTCGAACCGAGGCTAGATTTATGGGATTGCCTGTGCTGATTAGTTAGCCATAAATCTTCAGTGTTTGCTTATGGTCAGCAGTTCAGCCGATTGTCTCGGTGACCCCGAACTATATGTTCCACGTATTGTTCTGCATTTTCTACCATCCGATTTACCTAAGACATTCTCCTCCTTTCGAAGCTAAAGAATTTACAAGTCATGCTTGGAAAACATTTTCCTTCGTTTCTCATCATTGCACCATTAACAGGTTAACTCATTTTAAATGAAATCTGCGCTAAGCGAAATATAAATATATGAACAGCAGAAAAAGTAGAAGAAACAGCGCAGCACTCTTAATTTGCAAAGTTTTTACGCTGACTGAACTTTAACCCTGCCGCAGGTGTTAAAAATGATTTGCAAAATGCAAAACTTTCCGTTATAAATTCATGGCCATATATAACTAAAAAAAAAAAAAAGGAAGAAAAGGAAAGCCAAGCGATTCGCAAAAGAAGTTAAAATTGCTCAAGTTTTATATATATATTTCGTTTTCTGACGTGAATTATGCAAAAAGTTTAATAAAATTCTAGCAAATCGCAATATCACAGGACGTATTTTGTAGTTTTGGTGGCAGTACTTAAATAAAGTCTTAAATATTCCAAATTCACAAATGATGTGGAAGTAAACAAAATATGAATGGTTATTTTTCGTTTTAAATGTCTCTGATAAGTATGCTATGCATATCTCACTGTATTTTTGTTCACTAAACCAAATTAAAATTATCCTTAAGATGTTTTAGATACTTTTGCTTTTAAGGGTTTTTTTCATAAATTACGATAAGCACGCCACAACAAAGACGTGCTTAAACTAAGCAAATAAATGCTCCTTTTTATGACAAACAACTGGATAATTTGCAAAGATCCCACGCAAAATAAGCAGAAGAGTGAAAGGAAAACTATAGCGCGGAATATTTACATTCCTCTTTCGGCTCGATGTCATAAATCTTATACACCTGGTTGTGAATGTGTAAACGCCCACACGCTGGCACGGGTAAATTTAGTGCCAAAATATTTAAAGTCTATTTGTTAAGGCCAAAAACCAAAGGAAAAGCGCGGCGAAAAAAGCACGAATAAGCCAAATAAACCGCCAGAACCACCTGAAAAATGAGAAAGGGAGAGCATTGGCATGAAAACCCCAGAGAAACCCCCAACAATTTAACAACTGACTTCATGTGAACTAAGCAAACATGCAAGTGTGTGCACACACGGACTCCCTCATACACACACACACAATCACACTCCCACGTAGAATGCATAAGCTTTCCTGAAAAGAGGAAAAATGGCAGGGAAATTTCCAGGAAGGAGCAAGCTTCTTTTTTCCTTTGTTCCATGAATGCTCATACTATTTTTTTGTGCTAGGGACTTCTTTCATTTCTTTATTTTCCGAGTAGTTCGATTCAAACCAGAGCTTTTTCAATTAAAGTAAAGAATAGGGTTTTTTTCTAGTTAGTGGTAATTTTATAAGTTTATCAAAAACTTTTATAAATATATAGAACAAAACATTTTTAAAGTGAAGGAAAGGGTTTTTCGTTAAGTTTTTGAAAGAAAAGTTTTCTTCACTTAATTATTAAGCCACAGGTTGAAAACATTTATAAAGACTATTAAAAACCAAAAAAAAATTCAATCGGATCACAACGTTAAAAAAAAAACTTAAAAGTTATTGCCCACATAAACAAATAACAAAGTTAAACATTTGATTCATTTTAAAATCTGCAGCAAATTAAAAACACGTTATTTAATTGCTATCAACATAATGCAAATTGGACATGCAAATCCCACTGTAAATAAATACAGTGAGCAACAAAAGGAAGCCTCCGAATGCCCTTCAGTCGTTCAACCAAAGAATTTTCAGGTTCTTTAAAAAACATTTTTACACATAAGGGCGAAAAAATTTTAATCACAAGTAAAAAAAGGCTTATCCTTGGCCACACGGAATATTGACAGGCACACAGGGCTTAAGCGAAGATTAACTGCAGCCAGTGTGTGTGCATGCTATTTTTCATACATATGCACGGCACGTATTTGAATTATGTGTGCCAGTGAGTCCGGAAAATTCACACGCACACATGCCAGTGTCAGACGCGGCAAAATAAATAAATATAAATTTCGACATGCTGAATATTTTTCCTTAGTGTCGCCGCTCTGAGGGATCCTCTTTTCCACTGATACACAAATGAGTCTAGGCCCCGCCCACTAATCATTTTGCCTTGGCGGAAAATTGCAAGCCGATTAAATTGGCAATCAAGTGAAAAGACATCAGCACTCCCAGCAGGATGGTTTTCCAGCAGACGAGCAAAGGATGAAAAGCGGAGTCCTGTGGTAAAGTCCCCTCATCTTTAGCGCCGGTAAAATGGCATAATTACATGTAACTAGCCGAAAAAGTTTACATTTATGAGCGACTGGCGGCTGTTACCTGTTACCAGGGATATGGCCAACATTCAGGCGGGGAAATGGCGAGTTTTCCGGGAGGGGAAAGTGGGACTAAGCCATCATCCAAGCGGTGCTATTTATGTCGCCATCAGCGTGGCGGAAAAATGGAGACACAGAGAAAACAGCAAAGGAAAGCAGAGGAAAAGCGGGGAGTTTTCGGCAGCCAAATGGCTGCGTTGACACAGTTTCCCTTGTCGCCCAGCTGCGTCTGATGCTTTTCCCTCCCGGCTTTTCCCCACCCCTTTTTTCTCTGTGTGTGTGAAAAATTTGCGGCAAAAAAGGGGCTAGCAAATTATGAATGAAAGATGGCGGTAAAGTTCGCTAAATGGTTACTGGAAAATATAAAAGAGGGGCCTCTTCAAGTAGAGAGTTTCATGGGGAAAGTGAGAAATTACGTAGGTATATTCTCCGGATTATCAATATTAAAGAATAAAGAAACTTTTTTAATTATCTGTTGTTTTTTAACTACTATTTTTGTAAACTAAAGAGACATGCTTGTTTTTAGAAAATAATTAAATAAAATAAAGAAATTTATATTGAGGTAATCAGAATACACCATATGCTTTAGATGTTGATATTCATAATTTATAATATAAATGCTAAACAGGATCTTGGTTTTTATTCTTTTCTAATTTTATTGAAAGATAGACCCAAATCCAATTAAAATTTGTAGACAGTTGAGTAGCAGAAATCAAAGCAAAGTTTAAAAGAAGCATCTGCGGATGACCTTTTTGCACTTTTACCCTGTTTGCTTAACAGCTTAGGAAGGGGGAAAAACTCGCTGATTGCAATTGACCTCGAGACTCAAAACTGCCCACTCACTTATTCCCCAACTCACAACTGATGGACAGCTGAAATCGGACAGACATCCAGACACCAGCTGGGCATATTTTAATTACCATTTAGGCAAACGAAGAAAAAAAAAACACGAAACGCAAAAGAGAACATTAAAAGCCAACTGCAGACGCTCCTGCCGTGTCCTCTGACCCCTGCCACGCCCCCTTTGCCCCTGACCTGGCTACTTTGAACTTCTGGCTCAACTTTCTGCCCAGCTGTCAAATGGGTGCGAGTGGGAGAGCAACAAAATGCGGCAAATGTTGTTTGGAATATTAATTCGACTTTGGGCCGCATTTAAGAAGCTTAATGAACTCGAATCGCGGGATTAAAGCTAAAGCTACACAGAAAAAATTCATTTTTTAAATAGTTTAATTTTCAATAGTTTAAAAAAATTCTTCTATATTCCAACCTAATAAATTCATATTCATATGGTTCTAAAACTAGAAAATACAATTTTAATTGTAAATGTTAATTTTACTTTTATAATATGCAATTCTTTTTTTTAGGTGTACTTAGCAATGTGCTTAATTTCGACCATCAATGTGGGAGAAAAGGTGGAATGCGGACGGCGAACAAAAACTTTTAATGCCGCATCGTTCTATCCCTCGGTCCCTTGATATTTGTTTATTCTTTGAACTTCTCCAATTAAAAGTAAATATTGTGAGTAGTTTATCTCGATTTCATTCAGAGCCGGGCAGTTTGCATAGTTGGCAGTTTTAGCCCGGAGTTTTCCCCCCTTTTCCCCGTTAACAAGCCAACTTTGCTTGCATTTCGCACGCAATCTAAGACTGCGGCTCCGTCAATTCCACTCCAATGCTTTTGCGTTGTATCCCCATCTGTAGCTGTATCTGTATCTGATTTTCACTCGAATCTAGCTCAACTTTGGGGGCCAGAAACTTTTCTTTGCGCGTAATTTAATGCCTTTTAAAGCGGCAACGCGGCCCTGCTAACTTTTTGACTGGCAGAGTGCTATGGAATGGCAGCGAAACTGGCTAAAACATTTCCCAATTTCACTAAACTTTAGAATTTAGCAGTGGTTCTTACTCTTCAACTAAAAATATGATATTTTCAGTAGATAAAAGACCTTTTAACCCAGATTTATACAGTTCTTAAGTTGTGTTTCTCTACATTTCACTCAAATATTGATTTTGGCTAATATAAAAATAAATACCACAAAAATTAGGTACACATCTTGCTAATTGGCTTACCTTAAGATTGCAAACTTCTCGTAAAGTAAAAGCGAAGAGAAAGTGAAAGTTTACTTACAGTTCCCGCACTTTTGACCTTTCACATCCACAACTCCCAAGCAGACACTCGAAATCTCGCTGCAGCTAACAAAAACATGGAATAATTTTATTTACGATTCAACTTTATAGTCTCAAAATCATATGAGTAACTGCCACAAAGAAAATGGGAGGGCTTGGTTATGCAAGGTGCAAAGCATAAAAAATCGTGGTAAAACTTTATGTGCGTATCCCTGAGATGATTCTCCAGTCAAATGCCCAAGTTGGGTTTACTTTATGGTAGAAAAAAAACAGAAAGCAGGGGGAATAAAATAATAAAAACTGAAATTAATGCCGACGAGAGGAGCTAGGGAACACGTGTGTGAATAATTTATGCCGTCCCGAGATGGAATAAAAAACGAATTATGTTTAGGACACTTTGAAAGTGTTTTATTGAGCTACCTGGAGATTTTAAACAAAGTGAGATTTAATTTAGTTATGCATTGTCTGCATTTTGAAACAAGTCTTTTCTTTAGTTAAAGGAATTCAAGTGTAAAAGCTCAAAATGAACCAATTATTATTGAAAGAACTATTAAACCAATGAGTTCATTTAAATGAAAGGACTTTACTGAAAATTGAATAATGAGATGTAATGGAATTTAAGCTTGAAATTCTACTTTTAAGTTTAAGAATTTGTTTTTAAATAGTAGTAAAGTAAACAAATATAACCTTTAATTTGATAACCTTTACCCAGAAAATGCGGATTAAGGACTTGATACTTTACCCATTTTGGACAAAGAGCGCCGTGCATTTTCTTGTAGAGCGCTGCCGCTTAAAGTGCCGGCCAGCGATTTTGTTGGCGCGGAGTAAACCGTCCAACTTGACTGCAATGGCCTTGGCCTGCGCTCCATTGCAGCCCATTTCCCAACCCAATCCCAGTGCGAATCCCCAGCCCTGAAACCCGCCTCATTTCCATCGTTTTGTCTCCGCACCATTGTTCGGGACAGCAGCTCGTTTGGCCTTTGCCTCGGCAGCAACTCATTAAAAATTCCATTTTCATTTCGCCCATCATCCATTTTGATTTCATAGTCGAGTGGATGCCGCTGGGCGGCTGGGCTGCTGCTCTGCTCTGCAGTTGGATTCTGGTCGAATTGGTCCGAATTGGATGAGATGGGGTTGCCAACTGCGCGTCGCGCAATTTCAAAGTGTTTACTTTCTTGCACATTGATTTCGATGTGACTTTCACTTTGGCTTTCGCCCTTTTGCATTTCAACGTTGGCAATTTGATATTTTATTTAAATAACCACCGACGCTCTTTCTTTTTCCCCCCCTTCACCCCTCGAAATTCTCAGAGAATTTTTGAACGCCATCGTAATTAAAAAATAAATAAAAGAATTATGCAATTTTTTTCGGCATCAGCTTTATAAATGTACATATAAACAGTTTTTCCGGCAAACATGAATGAATCCATATGCAGACGTATTGCAAATTGGAAAGGAAAACGGTGGCCGCAGTTAATTATTTGCCCTGCCAGTTTGGCGAACGTGACGTATACGTAATTTTTATCCCGCCTGATTCACTGATGAATTGTTTGCCCAGCACTCAATCAATATATGTACAGAGAACTTATATGCATGTAAATATGCATATATATTATTACTTGATTGTATATTTGCGCTCGCGTATGCTTTAATTTATTTGGGCATTCATTTTTAAGGTTAAAAGTCCTTTATTACGAAAAAAACTTAGTGCTATTTAAGTATGATAATGCCTTTTGGTACAATTTATACAGTCTCAATTGGATTTTGATTAAATCTAAAATAAAATTTATTGCTAATCCACATAAATGTGTTTTATTGAAATTGAAATTTAATAGAATTAAATGATGTCAGCCAAATTCAACAACTTATTTATGATGCCATAAATTTAAACTAAATTAATTCAATAGAACATATAATTTATTCGCCGATCAAAGTTGTACTATTTATTTTCCGACAATTTCACCCTAGATTTTAAAGTCTCTACAACTACAAAACTGCACACATAATATTTGAGTAAAATTTATATTTTATTCAGCTAAACAAGATGGACAAGATAATGATTTGCATCATCGGATCGGGCAACTGGGCCACGACTATAGCCCGTAATGTTGGCAGGAATGTGATTAATTCGCAAACGCTTGACGAAAAGGTGCCAATGTATGTGTACGAGGAAATGGTTGATGGCCGAAAACTCACGGAAATCATCAACACCACCCACATAAATACCAAGTACATGCCGAACTTTGAACTGCCGCCAAATATTGTGGGTGTAATTTGATTAGAAACGAAACATGAAATTTTTAATACTCAATTTCTTTTGTAAGGTTGCCGTGGATGATATTGTGACCACGGCCAGAGATGCAGACATTATAATTTTTGCCATTCCGCCGACTTTCGTTAGCAGCTGCTGCAAAACTCTACTCGGAAAAGTTAAGCCCACTGCCCATGCAGTTTCATTGATCAAAGGATTCGAACGCGGCGATGATGGGCAATTCGTCCTAATTTCCCAGATTATTATGAGGCAGCTAAAGGTTAGTCCCAGTAAAAAAGATTCAAAAATATTTATAAGTAATTTGTTTCGGTTATCTTTTAGATTCCCTGTTCAGTCCTAGTGGGTTGCAATTTGGCCCACGAAATAGCCAATGACCACTTTTCAGAGGGAACAGTTGGCTGTCGAGATCAGAAATATTTTCGAGTTCTGCACGACATTTTTAAGTCGCCCACTTTTCGTGTTGTGGTTACTGAAGATGCAGACTGTGTTGAGATATGTTCCACTTTAAGGGTAAGCTGCCTTTTTTTAAAATATGTATTCGCCAGAAAAGCGAGTCTTTTTTTACAGAACATAATTGCCTTTGCGGCTGGATGCTCTGATGGAATGGAGTTGAATGAAAACACAAAGGGAGGGATTATTCGCAGAGGTTTTCTGGAGATGCTTCAGTTTGTGGATGTATTTTATCCCGGCTGTCGCATGGGGACCTTTTTCGAGTCCTGCGGAATATCTGACTTGGTAACCAGTTGTTATGGTAACTACAATTTATGTTTCAATTTTAAAACTATTACTTAAATATATCTTCTTCCCAGCAAATCGCAATCGAAAGTTAGCCGAAGCGTTTGTGAAAACAGGTAAGCCTTTGAGTGAATTGGAGCACATTCTCATTCCAGGACATGAGCCACTGGGTCCAGTGACTGCTGAATTAGTTCATCATATGCTAAAAAAGAAGGGCTTGGAAGATAAGTAGGTGTTATGCAAGATCGCTTTTTTTACCCTTTTGTAAATAACTTTATTTTTTCAGATTCCCTCTGTTCACAACTGTGTACAGGATTTGCACAGGAGATTATCCATTACATCGCCTGGTGGAAACTCTGATTAAAGCACGCGAGGACATGTAAGCAGGATCTCCCGGGAATCCCCTGCTGATCTCGAAGTAATAATAACTTTCCCTGCAGATTCCATCCGCTCCATACTTTCCAGCTTTGAGGGGTTTCGTTTCACGTGTAATAAGATTTAAATAAAACAGCTTTGGGATGCAGAAATGCAACCGAATAACGCGGCAATTTGCTTTCTTTACATTTTTAGACGGCTAAATGGAGCACATGAGGTTGGGCTTTGTCTGGGCCAAACATAAGTACTTATATAAAGTATTTGTAGGCAAATGCGGCAGGACGCTCCGCTCGATGTTCAAACAAAGCCCTTCAACATTTGTATTGTGCGTCTTTTCTTGGTGCAGTTCAAGTATTCCTTTAGCGGAGAGTGCACTCCATTGAATGCACCAACGCTCCGAGCATAACGAAAAACAACGGAAATCACTTCAGTCGGGGATCCGGATCCGGATGAATGGAAAAGAAAGCCGCCCGCTTTTCCATCTCATTGTTTTCCATAGCTCAACTATAAATTTGTGTGTGTTTCCCTTCTGTCCGGTAGTTTTTCTTCGCAGCTCGCAGCATTGTATTGGAGGTCTGAAGTGCTTTTCAATCGGAATTGAGGAAATGGGAGCAACCACTGGAGGACTTGTCCAGATTTTCCCCACCACAGTTCACTGAACTATTGAAACATAGAGCCCTATATGTCAACACGTCTTATTCAGGCAGTCAACGAATAAAGCTTAAACAAAAACCCCAATTCCTGAGCAGGAGCTCCTATAAAATATTTTATTCAACAAACAACTAACAAGCGGAAACCAACAATGCAACGATATCTTAAATATGTGATACCAGTGCTTCCTATTTTCGTACTACTTATCTGGATGCTTTTTAAAAAGGAAGATCAAAAGTCGGAGGACAAAGGAAAAGCTACGACTTCAATAGCTTCAAGATTTTGGCACGAGATGTATTTTTTCTTTTTTAAAGATGAAAAACCCAAGGCGAAACCACTCAGCTTTACTCAAAGAATGTTGCATTACCTGAAGGGCTAATCCTGTTGTTCATGAATCAGTAAACCAACTTCTGAATTTTTACATGCAAATGATTTTTCTGAAAATGGCACACCATTTATTTTGTTCACTGACGGCAAAAGTCAATTTTGAAATTGTTATTTAATAAATGATTTATGTAATTCATTTAGTTTTCGGCTTTGCGATTTCACGCGGATTTTTTCAGGCATAATTAAATCGAAACTACAAACGCGGTAATCAGCGAATAGAGAAATTTGATGCCTGTGGCTTTATTGCATGCGGATTATGTAACGGATTAGTTCAAATGTCGAAATTGTCCGATTTGATTACATTAGCAAACAACATTTAATCCTTACCGAATGACAATTATTGTGTATGATTGGGATATGCTTTTTTGGTGCGCAGCTCGTGTGAAACAGTACCAATATTACTTATTAATAAATTTTAAAATGATGGAAGCTTGTCGAGCAAACCAGATAAGTAAAAAAAAGTAATAAAACGAGAACAAAGTGCACAAAATATATGAAAAAGATTACAGTCATAATATCATTTTCTTCATTATGCATTCATTTATTAACGCAGGCCACATTACGCACATTCAGTCGAACGGCTTTTCAATTTATTTAAAATTAAATTCGTTTCTGTAAAAACCATCAAAATGTTTTCCATTTCAATTGCTTTATTAGTTCGTTTCAGATTTGCAGTTTAGGCAAGCATATAACAAATATTCCGCTTACGTGCAGGTGCAAAATAGTTGGCTAAAAATGAAATGGAAATCCCTGCAACGGAACCAAACTGTCCGGCTCGGTCTGACTGTGGTTAAACAAATATGCCTGGGGTCCCGGGCAAATAGAAAAAGCTATGGAAATTTGCATATCAGGTGGAGACCAGAAGGGCCTGTCCCCCGCCCCGATTCCCTTTCTCCTTTTCCCAATCCTTGTTGCATTTTTCGGTGGGTTGTTGGTTGGCAACTCGGTTGCCGTTCTCCTTTGCCGATAATTACACGGTAAATTTGGCAAAATGTGACGTCAAATAGCAAACAAGACGCCAGTAAAGACCCAAACGAGTTGCACGTATCCATGTAGCCAGGTATCCGATGTATCTATGCATCCTTGCCACGCATACACGCGCAGGCTGGAGCACACAGATACGCGCACTGGATCCACAGATACACCTTTACACAGAGAGAGGCAGTGGCGCAAGCACTTCAAAAAATAAATAACAATTTGGTACGTTACACACGTCTCGGCTTATGCAAACGTATCTGCAACTTGCTCCACTACCCGTCTCTTTCTACCCCCAGTACGGCCGTCTCTTTCTACTAAAAGAATGCTTCATTTCATGACCACCCACTTGGCAAATAGAATATACACAGGACATGTGGAGCGGCTGACGAGAGAGGTCCTCGGAATGGTGTTGTTTGTTGATTCGGTTATTGTTGCTGTCTGTTGTTTGCTCCCAAATTGAACAAATAGTTAAAACAATCCTCGCCAGAATAGATATCACTCGGCTGGTGCAGGAAACCCAAAACCGGAGGATCCAAAATCGTAAGATATGAGCGTGGAATTTAAATAAGTTAACTCGCGGTAAAAGTTTTGAAGAGAAAACTTAATGCAACTATGTACATATTAAGGAATTCAAATTTCAATTTAAAAGCTGTTCTATTTTAATGATTTCCTATTAATTTTGGTAAACAAAATAAGGATCCTTTTTGATAGTAAATACATTTACTTTGCCTTTCTTGTCGCTTCGTTTTTAGCCTTTTTTATTAATAACAAAAAATACATATAGGCAGTAGTTTATGAAATCTGACTAAATATTATGTGTGTACACTTGAAGAAAATTTGCAGTTAATTAAATTCTTTGCGGAAATCGAAAGATCGTTGATTGAACAAGGAAAAAGGTTGCAGATTCGAGGAAGTGGGGATAATAACATGGATCAGCTGTCGATCAACCAGAAGATATATGTCCGTCGTTCTGATGGCAGAGTCCACATGGCAGGAATTGTGAAACTGGAGGGCGGCAGCAATAACATGGTAACGGTGGAATGGCCCGAAGGACATAGGTTAAGGGGTAAGGAACTCCCTTTGGAACTGGTGATCCTGATGAATCCGCAGATCTTTGATCCTTCTCCCTGCACGGCATCCATACCTCCACGATCCGTGAAGCAACGCATGTCAGCTGGAAAGTTGCCACCTCGCGTGGGAACTGCCACGCCCCGTCAACTTACGCCCACCACGTTGCCTTCAAATAATCAGGATGAAGTAATGATGCAAGTGGAAAGGGTGAGGAAACAACGTGAACGAAGACGTGAACTTCAAGCCCGAGCTCGTCAAATTCGGGAGAATGCCATGAACGAAGATCCTGGGAATCCCAATTGGGAAATAGCCAGGATGATACGACTGCAGCGCCTCCAATTGGAAACTCGTCCTGTGAAGAGCAGTGGATTGAACAAGCCCCTCAAGGAGCACCAAATTGTGGTTTGTGTAAGAAAAAGGCCACTGAGAAGGAAGGAGTTGGCAGATAAAGAATTGGATGTGGTCAGTGTACTTTCTAAAGATATGTTAATGGTTCACGAGCCAAAAAAGCATGTGAATCTGGTCAAGTTCCTAGAGAACCACAGCTTCCGTTTCGATTATGTCTTCGATGAAGAATGCTCAAATGCCACGGTCTATGAATTCACTGCCCGACCTTGGATAAAGCACATTTTCGAAGGCGGAATGGCCACCTGTTTTGCCTATGGACAAACTGGAAGTGGTAAGACCCACACGATGGGTGGTCAATTCACTGGGAAACAACAGAGCTCCTTGAATGGCATTTATGCCATGGCCGCCATGGATGTGTTTTCCAATCTGCAGTTACCAATTTATGACAAGCTGAAGTTGCGAGTCTCCTGCAGTTTCTTTGAGATCTACGGATCTCGAGTTTACGATCTTCTGATGCCGGGTAAACCACAATTAAGAGTTTTGGAAGATGGCAAGCAGCAGGTGCAAGTGGTGGGTCTGACCGAAAATCCTGTCAAAAACACTGCCGATGTTTTGGCCCTACTTGAACTGGGAAATGGAGTTCGAACCTCGGGACAAACCTCTGCCAATTCCAAATCCTCTAGATCTCATGCAGTTTTCCAAATTGCACTTAGATCTTCGATATCAGAGCGTTTGCATGGAAAATTCTCACTTATAGATCTCGCGGGAAATGAAAGAGGAGCTGACAATAGTTCGGCGGATCGGTTAACCCGCATCGAAGGATCGGAGATCAACAAATCCCTGCTGGTTTTGAAAGAATGCATACGAGCTTTGGGCCGTCAATCAGGTCATTTGCCCTTCAGAGGTTCCAAACTCACTCAGGTTCTTCGTGACTCATTTATTGGAGGCAAGAAGGTAAAAACCTGCATGATAGCCATGATTTCACCTGGCCTTCATTCTGTGGAACACACTCTGAATACCCTGCGATATGCGGATCGGGTCAAGGAATTGAACGCAGAGGCTGCCTCTCCAAAACGACTGGTAAACGATCTGACTCAAAATCTTAGCTGCGAGAGCAACTCAATGCCGGATATTGTTAGTCAGTTACATAGTCTCAATACTTTTATCTCATCCACATCGCTGCCAAATGGAAGCAATCAAATAGAAAAAGGGAACACCTCCAGTGAAGTCCATGGACCAGTATCCAAAACATCTTATCCTAAATCTAAATCTAGTCGAAAGTTAAGCCAAAAGAAGGGCAAGGCTAAATTTCGAAGCAACAATTTTTTTTAATGCCCAAGATCAAAATCAATTTATATAGCAACTTTTGAAATGCAATAGGCTTATTTGACAAAATTGTGTGTAAAGATCTATATAAATGGTAAAGAAAAAAAAGTACAAACAAAAATTATTATTGTCTTCTTAAAATGGAAGAGTGAATAAAATGTTCAAAATAAATCGTATGATTTTGTTTTATTTATGCTGAAACCGGCAAGTTCTTTAAGGTTTTCAGTGGCACCAGCACTCTAAAATGTAAGTGAAATATATCTGGGCGCTTCCCTTAAATGCTCCAACAATATTCACTTAATAAATTAAACGAAACCTAGCAACGAGTCTCTATTGTAGGACGACTTCATTTAAATTCGCCCGGGGTAATCTCTGCCGATTGAAGTCTGTTCACGACACTTATTCCTACGTCTTAAAGTTGTCAGCGTATTCCGATCCCCACTCCCCGCTTTCCTACTTTTCTGGCCCAGTTCATTTGTGTGCGAACCTGTTCCCTTGGCTTAGGGTCCTAGCCCACTTTCGTGTCCTTCAACCAACACACGTAGCAGTGGGTTCATGTGTGTGACTACATTTTCCTATGCTCAACTCAAACTAAGCGCAAATATTTTCCGCATAGTTGCGCATTAAGCCAAAAACTTACTTTTCCTTACAGTTTTTTTTTTCTGTGGCTTTTTTTTCGTTTGTTTTTGGACGGAAGTGGGAAAGTGGGGATATGGCTCCTTCGACAGCTGTCAATATACAATATTGGGGATTATGATGGTGCCAAGACACGTCTTACGACAAAGCTTTGTGTCAATATATTAAATTATGGCTTAGGGCGGCTTTTCCCTAACTCCCAGCCTCTTCAGCCCCCTTGCTTAACTTTTTGGCATTTTTCGCGCAAATCCGCACATAAATGCTTAAGGCTGAATGAATATGGATGAAGCAGCGAATTTTGTTATTCCTGCGCATTTGACACTAATTGAAATCGAAAAAAAATCTTTTGGAAAAACTGTCATTTGAATTATGGCGTCTACATAATGCAAGAGGCAATTATTTAGAAGCTTTTTCAAGATTTTCTTTAGTATTTTTATATAAACTTATATTACTCATACGCCTTGTTGGCCGATTAAAAGCTTTAATAGCAAACTAAATGTTTTGCATTTTTCTTTTAAGTAATCTCAAAAGCCTCTTAGGGATTTAGGTAAGGTAAACTAAGCAAAGCCTAAAAATATATTTGATTAGTGTCTTACATTGTTTTCACAAAGAATTTAAAAACCGTTTTATTACAAGTTTTTGTTTACTTACGTATTTTTAATCCAAAAATAATATTTCCCAAATGGCAAACAACATCAGCTTACAATGACTGCAAAAACACACAATACACTCGAATTAAATTTGAATTTTTGCAACACCTTTGACGACATCTATCTTGGCCTGTCAACAATTTAATGTTTGCAATTTAATTTTAAGTCCCTGCTGTCTTTCGCATCGTTAATCAAAAGCGTCTTTAATCTTATGTCAAGTTATGTAAATAAACAATTACGAGCATTTATGTATGCACACTCACACAAGCGTACGAGCACCCACACACATACACTCATCCACACATACAGATATGAGCGCACACAAGAGCACAAATTTTGCGGCTTAAAGTTAATTCATTTCGCAAGTGTTTACCTAACCTGGCATTAAAACGGCTAGAAAGGCGACATACGCCCACGGGTTGATGGGTCTGCCAAAGTGCCATCCCTCGTCGCTTTCTAATACGCCATTAACATAGCTACCTAAATAAGTAAGTAAATTCGATAAGCACACAGATACTGACGCACACACACACACACACACATACAGGCAGTGAGTAAACAAAACCGGAAGGAAACGCGTGCAGATTCAGCGGAGTGCAAACATTTCAATTTGGGGAAACTGATAAGTCCTATAAATGTAAACTTAACGTTGCCTAAACAAATTTCCAAATAAATCCCCCGCCCCATTGAAAAAGCCAGAAATAGCGAGGCGATAAGTCAAACACATCTCCTGATTGAAGGCTTAAAGCATTTTTGGCAGAGCTGCTCCACGATTGAGTATCGATTACTTTGTGTCTAATGCACTTTTGCAACTGGAGGGCTGCAACTGAAGAACTCGCAGCTCCATTCTGCTTTCCACTTCTCCAACTCTTCGAAACGTAACCCAAACTGTTGGCCAGGAAAACTTTGCCCGCGGCAGTCGCAAAAGTGAGGGGTACTAATGGCTTCAGCTGAAAGGATATCGAAAAATTGAGAGATATGTAGAAGGGGGAAATCCATGATAAAAGCCAACCGTGAGAAAATAAATTGGAAAAATCTTTACCTAACATTTATTCAAAAGAACTTTAACGCATACTTTATAAAAGGTTTCAACCACAAATAGTTTTAATACAGCTTATCATAAATAATTTGTATTCATGACTAACTTTACTTAATGGTTTCATGACTTTTAAGGAGATAAAAATAACAAATGGGATGACTTGAAGAATAAGTCTCAAATTTAGAAAAGCTTCTTATTCAATGTTCAACCGAAACAAGTTTCTAAGTTAACTAGCAAAAAACACATGCTCGTGTGTCGAACCTGAAAAAAAGACAAAGAGGATGGCAGGTTTAAGCCCTTTTTCCTTTTCAGTTGTCCATTCCTCATTTTGCAGGACGCATGGCAAAATGTTTACAATGATAATTGTCCTGCTCGGTCCTTGTCGTTGTCATTGTCCAGCCAATAAATTTTTGGCAGCTGCATGGTTTGTTAAGCTCCGGGCTCAATCCTTTCCCCCCTTTCCCCTTCTCCCCACAAACATGTTGTTTGTCCTGTTTTGGCCACTGGCTATTGGCTATTGGCCGAGTGGGTGGTGTCCGTGCTTCGCTTGAGCCCTGTCCCTCATGTCGTCGCTTCGACCACTTGGCTCAGCTCAGGGCGAATTATTTATGTCTCGCATTCCAATTGCAGTTAAAACAATTTTTCGGGAAATGAGATTTTCATCTTTCGAATGCATTCTATTGCGGAAATTGATTACTCGAATGGATTTAAATGCACCGAACAGGGGCTTAAATTTCCATTGCTCGGCAGTTCTGGCTTAAAGGTGTCTTGCAGTAATTGAAATGTCCCTATTAAAACCTCCTTTCCCTGCCATATCCCACTATATCCTTTAATCCCGGACCAGTCCGAGTCCAGTGAACGGGGCGTTCCCTCTTGTCTTAACCCAAATTGTTCGCCATTAAGCCGTCAAGTGCTAAACATGCAAGCGATTCGCAATCCCGCCTCGCCTTTTTATATTCTCTGTCTCTTACTTTCTCAGCTTTCTCTTTGGCCCCACCCCTTTCCACTTTCTTTCATTCGCGTGCCGGTATATGGAAAACATCGGAGAGAAATGTGCCAAGATAAAAACCAACTTTGCATATTTACTAACCCTGTCAGATGTCGGTGGAAGTCTATTAAGAACGGTGTGAGATCAACACGGCAATGTGCCGGGTATGGCTTAATTTCAATTTTCACTAGATAATTTTTTAGCAAAGAAAGGACTTTGCTATTTAAACCAAGTTGCTTCTATATCAACTAACCAAGAAAATGTTCTTGGTTTATTTTTATTTTTAGAGAGTTGCAGTTTTCTTTTCATAATATTATCTTCTGGCGGTATTTCAGCAAAAAAACAAAAACTTAACGAACACAACTTCGTTGCACTGACATGTCCTTGCAAATGCATGTGTGGGTGCCGACACAGTAGCTTGTGTGTGTGTATGTGTGTGCTTGTGTGGTAGTGTTTGTTTGTCACGCTAACCTCAAAATTGCCGCCAACAATTTAACAAGCAGACGCTGTGTGAAAAATATGTCAAACAGAAGGCGAAGGCGGTGACATTTTGCTCGCTTTTTTTTTGTGCATACGAAAATTGCGTTAGGCCACACATAAATACATACATGTCCCCACAGTCGAGTTACCAACATAAAAAGTGGCAACACACATACACACACACACACAAACGGAGCAGGACAAACAGTTTCCACAGCCACGTTTTGAATTATGCATGTCTGGCACACATGACTCGAATTTTACCGCCCCTCCTAACACTTCTTCTTCTTCTTCTCTCTCCGATTCTAACGCGAAGAAAATATACATATTCAGGAAAAATGAAAATGACAAAAAGAAGCCAACGGCCCGAAACTATTCGTTGCCGCTTTCCTTACACAACTTGGTAGTTTCAGGGGAGAGTGAAAAGCGGGAAAAGCGGGTGGAAAACCCAGCCAAGCAGGAAGGATGTGTTAGGGTATTATGGTTCCCCAACCTCGTAATGACTGAATTCTGTGTCTGGCTGCCAGCGACCACTCCAAACTAACATGTTGCCAACTCCAACCCGCCGGCAGGCACCTTTGATTGCCCCAAAATGTCCAAGGGTAAGTAGATTATCCATCTGGCTGGAGTTCAAGCAAAGGAAGCTCATTTCGAAGTCAATTACTTCAAAATGTTAAAAGGACTTTCCTTAGACCTACTATTTTTTTAAAGAGATACTTTTGGGTCAAGAAAAATCATACAAACGATAAAATATTATTACTTAAATGTATTCGTAGTAATATTATTAAACACAAAAAAAAATAATATCTTTTCAAGAAAAAAAATTAGAGTAAGCTGATTCAATCCGTAGTCAAGAAAATAAGTCCAGTAGCAAAAAATGATTGGTTTGAGTTACAGAAATACAATGAAATCTTCTTACAAAAAAATACACAGTATTTCGCCCATTATATTAATCAAAAGCTTAAAATAAACAAAAGCAAGGGATTTTAATTGGAAAGCAATCAATAGGCCGAAAAACTTTTTCCCATTACATCACATCCGAATGATTGGGCCAAGTTGCAAATATAATTACTGGTAAAAAGCCCAAGAGTGCAAAGAGTGGAAAAGAGGCCGGCACAAAACAGTAATTAAATGGAAAACGCACTCGAAGAGTCAGGCGAGCTGCGAGCCAAGTGAAACCAACTTGTGCAAGGCACTTGACTTTGGGCCACAATCGCGTGACTTTGAGCCAGCCCCTTAAAATACGCTCGCAACGCACAAACACACACAAGTACCGCTCGAGTATGAATTTATTTATACGTCGTAATGCGTATACATGATTTCTTTTTATAATTTTAATTTGCGGCAACCTTGGCCCGAACGCCGATGGCCTTGAGTA